CATTGTTCGTCCTACGTAGCACTTAATCTTCCTCCACCCTTACAAATACTACGCGCTGCCCCTTCAAGACACGTCTGGTCTGCTGGCAGTTCAGATTTACATTCTCCACTTGAGCGATTACCGACGTTTGCGTTATCCTGTCCATATGTAATTCTAATATTATTTTGCGCGAATTAAAAGGCAAAATATTCCATCCCTCTTCTCGTAATATCGTATCAATAAACAAGATGCATGAGTATCCGGTAATTTGCGCGATCGCGCGATAAGAGAGAATATATATGAGAGAATATACAGGAAGAATGTGTATACCGAAATTTGCTGAGAAAATTTACCGCTCTCGAGATAGCATCGAATATGCATATGTAACTTACACGATGCCGCGCAAATTTATCACCGATGAAATAAGAGACGGTTATCTATTGTTAGCGACAATGGAATAAATGACGTTTCTCTCAGGGATGCAAGCGGAGGGCTATAAATATCAGCCGGCGGCATTCACGATGTTGCAATCTGCCCGGAGAGTGTTCCATTCCGCTTTCGAATCTAAATTGCGTGCGCAGATAGGGCGGTACTCGTATATGTATATACGAAGACCGTAAATGTTCGCGTATAAAGGTACGTTTTTGCTACTTATTAATCATTCCTGCAACAATAATAGCTATTAGCGTTCTAATTATCAACCCGGATCGAAAGCGAAATGAAATTACATTGCAAAGGTTCATTCCTCCAATTCCTTTCCGTAAGTTTCGTCTCTAACGAACGACCTCGACTTCTCGAAGCCGACTTTCTTGCGGCTCGCTCTCTTTCTCTCTCTCTCTGTCTCGAAGAAGAAGGGAGGAGTTAACTTCTCTCTCGCACAAGTTTTTCTCTCCCTTTACACCCGTGCCTCTTTTTCAGCCTCCCGACTTGTTAGAACGCGGAATGTGTTGCCCGCGGTCAGGACTCGCAGTGACTTCTTAATCGGATATACGAACAAAACGCACGCATCATCGTCAGATCGCTTGCATGAGTAATTGCGTTATCCATCGCGTTCGCGATCTCACACGACGCCGCGAGCGATTCGACACCGCTGGGTAGGAGCGTGCGAAATTATCTTTCGTGTGATGTCCCGGAATTTTCCCTAGTCAGAAGTTTACTTTTTTATGCAAATAAACGTTATACATAATCTCTCGAAAATGTAGAGAAAATACCGATTTATTAGATATTAATTTTTTTAAATTTATTTTCGAAAGATTTGAAGAAGGAAATTTTAAATGCATTTCTATGTGGACGGATCGGTCTATTTTTTAATACCGGCACTGTTGAAAATTTAATCATCTTGTTATGTAAGCTATTTTCATGGTAATGTCTTATTTTATCGTTATTAAATAAGTGGTACCTCGCTGTAGACAGAGTTTAATTACAATTATAAAGTTAAATTGCTTGTTAAATTTTGTATAAGTTATAAACAGGAAAGAAACGTTATTTTATTGCGCAAAGAGGATTTCTAACAACTTTATTATCTTGTATTGTAGATTTTATTGTCGAAGTTAAAAGCCACATTAAAGTCATTTACAAATTAAATCAATTCACATAAATGTTTTTTTACGTATTTCAAATTAAAACATAAGTACCACGAATATTTCGTTTAAATCAAACATTTATTGTTTGGGAAATTGCTGAATATTAAATCTCGTAATTAAATGATATCGGAATTCCGGAAAGTCGCCGATATTGCGGCACATTCGAATGCACATGATGGGTTGAAAAAGTTTAACGATCTCAAATAAGCGCGCATTAATTGATAATCCGGATGAAGCTGAGGGTCTCAAGAGAGATAACCAGGTGAGGCACGGTGCATTAAAAGTAGATTCGCAAACATTAAGCTTTCATAAAGGCGCGCACGCAAAGTGAATATTTGCACCTCACATGTTATATTACATATTATACCGCATCGCAGATGTGCTACGGAACACACGGGATAATGGAAAACGCACGTTAATCTTCCCTAATTTTCCTCGCGCCCACTAATTTCTCTTTGTCGTCGCGATAACCACGATTAACGACCTGACGGATGCGCGCGTTTCGTTGAGCATTTCGGCGTTAACTAAGTCCTTAACACGTTGGGACAGCCAAATGCAATGACATTTCATGGCAAAGCATAGGAAGTTCAAGGCAGTGCATATATGTATTTTGAATGTCTCTCTCGAGATTATTCAAAGTTCTCGATGTTAAGCAATTGTCGGGATATCTCTCGTTGCACGAATATATTTCAGTTTCCATATAATTCTTGTCATTTATTCTGGTAATTTACAATTAAATTTTCTTTAACGAAGATTTTATCTTATCCTACTTATTTTCTAATTTTGTAATATTAACTTTAGATTATATTTTTTGTTATCAGTTTTTGAATCAAATTAAATTCTGTCAAAGTTTGTAAAGAGAAGAATAAGGGTTTCTTAATTTATTTTTAATATATCGATTTTATAAAATTTTTACTAAAATACTTAAACATGATAGAGCTTGATAATTTTTTATTAAGAGAAACTTGAACATTGAAATTAAATATATAAAAGAAACCTTATAAACTACGATAAATTTAATCCATTTTATGTAGAGAATTTTGATTTAATTATTTTTGAACTGATAATCATATTATTTTTTTGTTTAAGACTATCAGTTTGTTAGCAAAATTGCATTTTTGCTAAAATTCTTTTTCGAAATATAAACAGTAGTTAGGGCTTGCCTATGGTCAGACAAAGTAAGTCCGTGCTTTGTCTGATATTTAAAGTGTCGAATTTGAATCATATTTGCTTATGTATTACACATTTGCATGTGTATTACATAACAATTCTTGCTTGTACTTAAATTGTCGATTCATGAGTTTAAAAAGGTCTTTAAAATAGGCGATTCATTTTTTGATATTTCTGACATGGATTTTTTTTAAGGGAAAGTCATACATGCGCTCGCATGTATTTGACTCGAAAATGGGTTTGATATACGGGTAGAAACTCTCCGAAACACATCGCAGATTTCGAGAATAATATCCGACGTATGTATCCGTGCATTCCACTCGAAATTCAACGAGCACGCGCAGATCGTAAATTTCGCGGTTCCTGTTTCTCTAATCAAGTCTCCGGTTCACGGTGGAATGGATCGCGATAGAGGAGAGGAAGCTAATGCAGATTAAGCGACAGGTCTCTCTTCGGTCGTCATATATGACGATCGTAAATTTCGTGCCAACAGTTTCCCTAATCAGAGGGACAGTACAGAACACGATGGGGACAGATAGCGTAAGAGAGGACGAAATTACGGAGCCGCGTATCTGGTCTACCGGATGCCTTCTTATCGGCGCGAGGCAGGTAACCGCAGAACTTAAGGGGACTTTCATTCGCCAGGAACGATTCCTCGCGCACACACGCGCGCTCGCACAAAGTCGTACGTCATGTCGAGCCGTTTAATGGTCTTTTAATACTACCTTACGAGCGGCGCGTTTCCCCACCCGCGCAACTCTTTCACTCATGCGGCCGCCGCCTTTGAATAAGACGATCGAGACGACGGAGAGACTCCGAGAGATGCCATTGCTTCTTCCCGTCGAACTTGCTGGGTCTCTCTCACATGGGCGCTCGCAGAATTTTTTCGCAGGAAGGGACATAATAAATTTTGTGTTATTTCTTCATGTTTTTAAATTTTTATTTTTTATATTAAATATACAAGTAAATCCCAGCGTTTATTTCAGAGGAGAGCAAATACTTAATTTTTGTACTGATTCCCATGCATGGGTGTCCGTAGAATTTTTTCCAGGAAGGGACATAATACATTTTTTGTTCTTTCTTCATCTTTTTAAATTTAATTTTTTTTTATTTTTATTTTTTATATTAAATATACAAATAAATCCCAGCGTTTATTATACAGAGGAGAGCAAATACTTAATTTTTGTACTGATTCCCATGCATGGGTGTCCGCAGAATTTTTTCAAGGAAGGGATATAATTAAATTTTTTGTTCTCTCTTAATCCTTTTAAATTTTAATTTTTTTTTATTAAATATGTAAATAAATTCCAGCGTTTATTCCAAAGGAGAGCAAATGCTTAATTTTTTTCTCCTGATTCCAAGAGGACAAATGTCCCTCCCTGTGGACGCCCATGCATGTACTGGTAATCGAAGATTCCAAAGGGGTTTATGTCATCGGTCGGGCAGCCGGTACGTAAACCGGAGGCGAAAATTCCCGGCGGAGAGAGTGCGCGACTTTCATCGTTTAGCGTCTGGAGAGCAGATCTCTTCTGTTCGTGCGGATGCCTATCAGCGGTTACGCGTCGTTGCGCGTATCTCCTTGCCGGATCTTCTTTGTTACTTCCATCACGCACGGATGACTATACCCATGGATATATACGCGGATGTGTTTACGACAAAATGGCAGAGAGATAAGTGGTGATCTCTCCCTAATGACCTTATGATGCCGGACAGTTCTGTTTAATGTCCGACAATTAAATATTTCTCATCTTTTTATTCTGATCATTATTTGTATCATCAAGCATTGCTTGTCATTACTTTTTAATATTCTCTATAGATGCAAACTTCAATATTTATTATATATCATCATCTAATTTGAAAAATTTGAAAAATTAGATTTTGATATTATATAATAGATCGTACAAGATTTTAAGCTACATACGTTGCAAATTTCTTAATATATATTATATCATTTTTAGTTTACAAACGGTAATTGCGAATATTTTTCGCTCCCCTTCTTTATATTCTTAGCTATTATTACAATTGTTATCAGTCCCATTTATTTGTCGTATATTTCCACGAGCAAAATAATAGCGCGACGGTAAATTCATAGAACTTTATCGCGCGATAAACAATCCTGCCTTCTACAGAATTGTTTTGAGAATGCCGGAGGATAAAAGATCCAAGTTCCAGCAGTTGCTAGCAGTGGACTTCTTTCAGGGGGAATATTAATGCCGTCGAGAAGAACTGTGCATCGCGTCTAGTAGTCTGTTAGACAGCCCCATTATTTGCTCGCCTACCCACTTCGAATGCATTAAGAAATATTTTCACGGGACTCCTCCATTATGCACGTATGTCCGCGAGAGTCGATCCGCGTTTAACGTCGAGAAAATGCATTTCTTGCTCGATAACACGAGAATCGTTCAATCGTTATGTCACTGATCGCTCGCGAAAGATTGTCGGAGATCCTCGATTGCTCTCGCATAAACAGGTGCTCCCCTATGTAATCTATTATCATTGAAAAATTTTTTACGTATGCAACGCTGATTCGCCGCAACCGTCAATTCCGGTTTTGAGAGGAGCGTAGTGGTGAAACGTTTATTTCCTGCATTATTTCCATTCTGCCTTAGCGCCGATGGTAATCGTTAGAACGAGTTTGTAGAACTCTGGCGTGAGATTTTCTCGAAGATCTTTCGATACTCGGTTAGCTTCACTTAAATCGACATTATCACCATTTATAAATAATGCTAAAATTCAAACAACTTACTCATTTAATCTTTTAATTGAACTTAATCTTTTTTTACACGTAAGACTTGCTACAGATGGCACATGTATCTTTATTAGAAATCGATGTTATCGCTGTTAATCGTCTCCAGGGATGTGTTTCTTCTTTTGACGATCTTCTTGCTACTGCACTTAACTAGGAATTTCAACTCTTCTACCATTTCTTCTTTGTAGGATACCTGTAATGTAAAACACGTGCAATTTTTATAATTATCGAAATAATTTCGTAGAAAATATACAGAATTCGAATTATGAAACATGTTATTACGTTATGTCTGATTGCAAGATTTCGAATGTTCCAAAGAAATGACCATATCGTGAAAAGCCACGATAACATAACGCCGCTTATCATAATTAAAAATACTCCACCGACGTCCTCGAAATTTAATGCTTCTACTTGGACTTTTGCCTTCTCCTATAAAAGAAATCAAATTTTCAACATTGATCGAATTTTTTTTTTATAAACATTATTGAAAAACGATTGTGATTTAATGGTTAAATAATGACGCAAAATTGAAGTTTTCGAAAATTGAATTCTCTCTGAGTTGCTCTCGTAATAGTTTAAAATTTATCTAGTAGTTTCGTAAATCTTGAAGTAACTACATTTTGGTTCATACTTCAGCTCTGGCTTATTCACTTACACGCCAAACATGCGCCAGAACCGCTATGTCGTCCCTACACGTACAGACCAAATCGGCAAAGTTTGAGTTTCAGCTCAACTATAAAAGCGGCCAAGTAACGTGAAATACTTTGCCTGTGTGTTTTATCCATTTGAGTAATCAAATAAATGGGAGAAAAATAAACAGCCAACAATTAGACGAGTGAAAAGTTAACTGTTAAAGAGAAAGCATTTTTGATAAAATTAATTAAATTTTGACTGTTTCTCTTTGAAACAATACTTGAAAACAAATATCGCGTTAGCTAATTTTTGACTTTAATTGATATTTGAATAATTTACAGAAAATAAATGATTCGTGAATAAGATAAATAGATAAATAGAGATAGAGAGAAAATAAAAATATATTTTTCGAGTTAGCTAATTGTGCATTTTATTTAAATTACTCTAGGCAATTCGTGCAGAATATACGTTTACTTTTTAATTTATCTGCAAAGATTTTGCCTGAGATAAATTAGAAGCGGGCGTGTATGATTTTTTAATAAGTGAAAGTATCTTGCATCATTATATAAAAGCTTTTAAATAATCGACATGTTAATAGTTTCGCAACTACATTAATGAAGACACGTTTCACAAATATTACGTGCCACGTTCAACATGATCTATGCAATTTAATTCTTGCTACGAAATAAACAGTCACAAAAACGCAATGCAAAACATCACCTACTTCACATCTATCGCCGCCTCGCTTCTGTCTCCACCATTTATTTTCCAACTCATTAATTATGCCGTTTTCCTTCAGCTTTAATATAGCACCGCTGAGATCCGTGCGATAATGTGCGTCTGTTAAATTTGATTAAAAATGAATTAATTTGTTTCATCGAATCTAAGATGACAGCCAAATTGGTGTGACGTATAATAAATTGAAAAAAATTAATTGCTAAAAAATATATAAAATCGAATCACCAACCTTTTTTCATCGCTATCCCGTAGCCTTTGGCATCCAAAAGTCCACCGATCTGCGTTACATTACACTTTCTCTGTTTAATATACTCAATTGACGTGGACTCCATGATAAACGCATAATGCTCTTGTTGCACCTTCCATACGCCTTCTTCGTTCTTTTCCATAAGCACTTCGTCAGCATGATCCATCATGTAATTATACATGATCTTGTATGGTTCGTGCGAGGAATCCTGCAAAACGAGATCGAACCCTGCTAGACGCTTTCATAAACATAATTACGTGAAATATCATTGTCAGCCTTTAATAATGGCCTATCAAATTATACTGCGTATCTCTTTTGCGATTCTCTTTTGTCACTCACCTTGAAGAATGACAGCGTCGATCCGCCCTTTTTCGCGCCGTACTTGATTTTCTGTTGATTAGCCAGCTCTTCCGCCGTCTTGAAGGGCCACACGACGGATTTCGTGGATAACGCGGCCGCCAGATTGGCAACGTACGTCGATCCAATGATCAGAGTAAAAAACCACCACGCGATAGCCAAGGCTCTTGTTGAAATTCCTCTGAAATACAAGTATTTTATTCAACATTTTTCAGTGTTTTTTCTGGATTCAACTATAATTATTAATTGCACGTGGGTGTAACTACACTGAAAAACAATTATTGAATTCAAATAAATATTTATTTCAATACTGCCAAATGAAACATTTATTTGAAACTAATCATATTCATTTGATATAAGAAAATCCTTTTTAAAATAAATATTTATTTGTTTCAAATAAATTATTTATTAAGCAGTATTGAAAGTCATTTTTTTTCAGTGCAGCTGTATGTGACGATATAAAAATCTGCAACGATACAAAGCTATTGTGCAATCAATAAGAGTTTGATTCCGCGCAAGAGAAATATCTCGAAATTATGCGGATATTGACGAGTTTCACAGAGCAGAAATACGAAGACTTACGCGGGTGCAAATCCAGTAGGAGATTTCAGTAAAGCTCCGATCACGAAAAACGGAGTGTCCATCAGAGTGAAGGGCGTTTTTAATTCTTTCGGTTTTTTGATGCAAGGATATGGATTGGTCCATTCAACGGGACAGAGTCTCCCAATTATGAATAATAACACTGACACGACGATGTAAGCTGCGAGCAGATGCACCCACACGTCTTTCGAAAACGGTCCCAGGAAGGACAGTAAGCTCGGAGGAGCGCTCGTTGGTTTTCTGTAGAGCACGCTTATACCTAACAAACAAGTTATTTAAACGAGGCGTAAATGGATTTTGAAATTTTGATTTATATTTTATATTTATTCCGATTTTATATACTGAGAATATACATTGCATGTCATGTTTTACCCAAATTCATAAACGGGCTCGTAAAATCTACAGCGTCCTGCCTTTCCGCCGTGATTGTTAGATCTGTGATCGCTAAATCTGCTGTCTTTAAAATTAAAAGAAAAAAGTTCATCGTGTTGTATAAATTTTTAAAAAAATATTTATTAGTACGTAAAATATAATTTTAGTTTATTTGTTTTCCTAATCATATCATTTTTTATACCAATTATGTGGTCAGATGGAGAACAAGAAAAATATACAATTTTTTTGATAATGCGTCGAAATATACATGATAACGATTTATTTTAAAGAACAAATTGCTTAAAAGGATATTATTCATGGCATATCAGAGAAATATAGAGGCAGCTGCTTTATCGATGTAAGAATATACAAAGCGTTGCTCTCACATCGTGTGCACGATGGAAGGTAGCAGCACTACTCGCGAACGAAGGTCGGTCAAGTTTATCACGTGTTTATGCCGTTTACGTGGGATCAAATCGTGGAAGGATGCTTCATCGACTTACGCCAGCGATTATTTTTCCTAGCATGCCATTCCACTGTCCGGTCTCATTATTAAGCGATCCATACACGCTGTCGGCTTGAACTTCAAAGGTGTAATTAAACCCCAGTACTTTGCTCATCTCATGAATTATATCGATCGCGAAACCCTCGTATCGATCGTTTCCAATTGTCCTAACGGATGATTCTTTAAGCATTCCATACGGGTCTGTCTGGAATTTATTTCAGTCTAATCAAGAACATCTCCCTTATCTCTTATATCTTTCTTATATTAAATAGGAGATTATTTAAAAGATAACATATTATGTATATTAAAATGTATAGAATAAAAAGAGTGGGATAATTATACGATTCTTTTTCGATTGCATATTAAAATTGATAATATGGCATTCTTTTGCTAAAGTATATTTTACAACATTGAATTTTTTATCATCATCGAATCATATAATCGCTTCATAATTATGAATTGTAAACAAATGCATTTCAGGAATAAATGCTATTAATAATTTTTATACAAATTATTGGAACGTACTAACGATATCAGGACAAGGAAATGTTTGTCACGTAAACTTTTCTCATCATCCACTCCAGGAATTTTATATCTCGGCTTCCATTGAATACCAACATTCGTTTCCCATCTCCCGATTTTGCGCAATCCTTGAATTTCGAGATTTACAATGTCCAATTGGAATTCGCTCCGGAATCCAGCCGTATCGAATTTTATCATCCCGCTCAATCCGTTTATTTGCGTCTAGTGTGTTACAGATAAAACATTTCTCTGATTAAAATATATATTAAAGAATGATACATTGTGTGATGAAATTGTATGATTCTTTTGAATTAATTCTTAAACATATATATGCATTTTTTTTTGCAAAGTTATGAAAAGATTAGACTTTATTACATGTGCGTTTAAATACGTTAATGTAATCATACATACGTTTCGCATATAATTACTCAAGCTGAAACCGTGTCCCCAAGTTTCTGTACGATTGCAAAATAATTTCTTAAGATTTCCATTAATGCTGTCGCGTAATTGTGCATAACCACTCGCAAAAAGTTGGACAGCATCATAAGCGAGTGCCGCTTCTACTTTTAAGTGAGAACCGTTCGTTAAATTCCAATTAAGAGACCGAAATTGGAGGGTGCGTTGAACAATTGAACTTTCCGGATTGATTAAACGTACACCTGTTAAATTTACTCCGGAATATTTATATGGCTCTAAATCCAGAGTTTGCAGATCCTAATGATAAATAATGAAATACGTATTATATATATATATATATATATATATATATATATATATATATATGCATTTTTGTAAATCAAATAAGAATTTAGAAGATTAATTTAATTGAAAATGTTTTTTGTGTAAAATCTAAAAATGTGACGGATTTTTATATGAATTTGTAACTTATAATCTTTTTTAAAATTATTTTTTTATCAAAGAAATGATGAAACATCTTACCAAAGAAGTAACGATCACTTTATATTTTTCTGATAGTATTCCGATTTGCTGTGCTTGCTCGAGAACAGACGCAAGAATGTCATACGAACAATCGATTATGATATTTTTGTAATCGGATTTTTTTACCTCTTTCATGGTTTGCCTGTAGGACAATTATCTCATTAATTTTTGAATAGCGTTTGTATCTCTTTAAAAAAATCTTGGCAATTGCATGTGACATATGTAGCTGTGCGAGTGACGTTCGCATCATATACAGACAGTCGTACCGTAAATCATCGCGATATCTTCTGACGTTTACGACGGAATTAAATAATGGCACAGGTGCATAATAACTTTGTTTGACAAACGTCGCTTGTGCTCGCACACAGGTTTGTTCCAGTAACGATCTATTTTCTATTTATATAATTCGTGCGTGCGTACCTAAAATTTGGTCCATTACCTAAACGGAACGCCATGGCGGAAATGGTATTCACGTTTGACAATTTTAGCAGACGACTCATACGAATTAGGCCATCTGTGTTGTCGTAAAGTATTGCATATTCCTTCCATTTGTATTCTTGTATTATATCATGGAAAACCTAAATTATGCCAGAGATTAATTTTAATACAAATATCACTTACAATATTAGTATTAAAATATATCAAATATCAAAGATTTCAATTTACGATTCCTTTATTCTCGCGGTTTTGATTAAGTCGTCATTTGATGCAACTAAACTGTAAGTGTTATATCTTGAAAAATACTAATGCGAACAATCCAAGAAAAAAATATGATAAATGTAATATATTTGAAAATATTTATTTAAAATTTTGTTTTTAGAACACTGCAATAAGAAATTTTTTGTAGGCAATATTTTCTTTCCATTTTAATTTAAATAGTTTTAAAGTTTAATTTGTCGTTTTAGTAAAAAATCAAAATTGTTGACTGCAATTATGTGCGATGACTCCAAGTGATTTGGGATATAAAATATTAAGTACCATGGAAAGCATGTCAGGATGTGGATATAGATTTATCACATTATCGCGTTTTGTTTTGGAATCCCATCTGGCAGCAATATGAGGTATGTCCAAGGTATCGCACATACTTTGAACGTAGTCCGCTTTCAATTTATCTTGAGGACCAAATATTCCGGCCACTCCACTGCTTACCAATTTGCACGCTGCACTCAATGCATAATATAATCTCACGAGATGCACACGTGCGTTTATTGCACACATGCGTCATTTATGTTAGAAATTGAGTTTAACTAGTAAATTAGAGTATCTAGTCTTATATATCGTATAGTAAAAATTTCTGAAAATTTACTTTTAATTAATAACGCATAAACGCATATAGCTTTACAAAAAAAAATTAAAAGGCTAATTAAATTGCGTGTGATCTATGAGGACGCTTTTATGTAGACAAAAGAATATATATAAAATTGTGTATTAATTTAAATACAGAAAATAATAGTATACCTATTTTTGCTACATGAAATGCATTTTTATTAGTTTTCTCGGTTCTGGGTGTTAATAATACACCCATCGCGTGCTCAGAGACACTGATATTTTTATTCACTGCTTTGATTGATATCTCAAATGCTCTTTGAATCATCTCGTCGCTATCGAATATACCTCCTGCGATTATTCAAAATTTTTGTTGATATATTGAATTAATTATAGATATTCTTACCATTTGGTTATTTATGAAAAATATATAGCGGACTTACCAATAGGAATTTTTCTTGGAAATCCCAAAATATTGGATATAAATGCAATAATAATATACAGAAACAGCATTTTTGGACGTTTCTGAAAAGAGAATAATTTTGATAGCAATGCAATAAGTGCAACGAATTATTAATACAATCTACATAAGTATCGAACAGTTTATTTTTCTAAAAATAAACTATTATAAAGAATTTAGATTAATGTCAATTAAAATAAAGTTTGTTTTTGTTTTTTATTGTTATTCCAGTGCTGTTGCACTGCTATCCTATATAACACATTGGTATGTACATACATATATGTATATATGCGTAGTTACGATATATTTAGACACTTCTCGCCTTGCTATGCCAATGTGCTCTATATAACAGATTCTCTCAATTTATGTGTTGAAAACAGTTGAATGGTTCACTGACAGTTTCCTGAGAGTTGTCAGTAATGCGTAAATATTCGCCTTTTAATAAAGATTCCATGATTTCTCAAATACAAATAATTTGGACATATTAATGTAATTTTTGACGTGTATTAAAATAGGCCAAATAATACAAACGTGTGAAAAATGTTTTAAAGACATTTCAGAACTATATTTTAATATTTTAATATGTCAGACTTTCGTATTAATAGTATGTTAATATCTCTTTTTATCTAAAAATTCTCAATTATTTTATTGAAATAAGAGATTTGTATTAATGTAATTAATAAGATAATTTATTTTTCAAATATACATTATTATTTATAGAATTGCAAAGCAAAAAACGCTTTAATAATTAAATAATCTTGCATATTATTTGTAAATACAATTTCTAGATATTGTAAATTAGTTATAAGAATTATAATTATTCATTTGTTTCGTTATATAGCGTCGTTTTGAAAATGAAAATTTGTTTTTACAACATTTATTAGCTAAAAAAGCGCTTTTTATATTTTTTCTTTGAATTTGTTTTGTTTTAATGCACTTTCTGTATCATGTTGCAGTGTATGTCCAATTTTACAAGAATGTATTAAATATAACTATTCAAGAAGACTTTAAATCTTGATCGCATAATGACAAAGTATTAAATAATAAAAGCTTTACATGAGCGTATTACATCTGCATGGCCGATTGCCAAAGCAAAACACGGGCGCCAAATTTGCATTGTCAGAAGTGCATTAAACTTTTCCTTCGAGATGAGAAAACAAACCATTCTTCTAACGTGAAGTAATGTTGACGTTTTGGAGTTCCATACGAGCAGCGATCTATCACATTTTCGGCTCACGTTTAAAAATATCGGTAGAAACTAATTCTTTAATATTGATGATACAAGGTCACTCGCGCGATTAATTGACTTTATTATAATTGAGTAAATTATTAAAATAACTAGAAATAAATGCTTGGCGCGAAAAAAATTCGTCGAACTTGTATATATACCACGGACCACCCGGCGCTATCGGAGCCAGTGGTTACACTATCTCATAACCACCGGTTGACTATTTCGACCACATGCAAGCTCGAAAAGTAGGTAATAGGATCGTATTTTCGTATGCTGTTTTGCGCATGACCACCGTAGCTTATTTCAATTCGGAGAATTATCGCTGTTAATAATGGTTCACGCTTCGTAATGATTTTGTGAACCTGTAATCGTGACAAGTGAAAAGATAGAGATTATTATATGCGAGCGATAATTCTTCTAGAATTGATAATATCTTTCAGAACTGTCGGTTGAGAAATTAATGCGATTGCATATATAAAATATTTATGTCCAAAATTAACTTTTCCAGTTTTTCGTCGCACATTTTTATAAATCTATATTGATGCGAGTTATACAATAGATATAGAAATTACAATATTATCTAATATATAGCAATTTGTTAGTTTTTTTAGTTATGTATTTTTTGCATAATTTTTCTTCTTTCTAATCACACCAAACCAAATCTCTATTCATTTTTTATTAAATGCAAACACACAGAGATTAAGAAGTGCATTTTTAGAAGAAACTCGTCTAATAATATTGAGTATTATATTGAGTATCGCTAATTATTTATTATTTATGTTTCTATTTTTGTTTGTACAATTTTTTTCTATATTTCTCTCAATTAGATATCCTGTCATCTTATCATCAATCAATGATGATCGATAGATGCAGAAAGAGAAAAGATATGGCGATTTAAAATAAATTATTATTTATGAAAACTATATATTATATATGTAGGTATCGTATATCTCTTAAAATTTATTGTTCAATAAAAGTGCCTTAAAATGTTTACGATTTGATTCTGATGTTAGTTTTACTTGAGCATCGTGAGCTGCGAAGTAATAAATCTGCAAACTATAGCTTTGTTATCAGCTTCATATTTTGGCCCTTCGTATCTATAATCTGATACAAAAACATTGATATATTCAGATTGTACATTATTTATACATGAATGTACTATGATTTTTAGTGTTTGTACATTTTTTGGTTAATTAAAAATTAAAAAATTTTACTACCAAGACTTCTAAAAGTTAACCCCTTATTATTTAAAAAATAATGATAAATCACATAGTTTATTGTGCTTAATCGTTTGTACATTATTCAAGTATACATTCTTAATAACTAATTCACTTTTTGTTTTTTTTCTGCAACAGATAAAATATCTGTCCACTAGATCGATTAGATTGTAAAATCGGATATGTTATATTATATTGCATACATGTAAACATTTATGTACAAATAATGTACAATGCAAATATATCAATATTTTTGTATCTGGTTGTAGATGAGGGGCCAAATATATGGATCTTTAAATTTGTCTCGTCGTTATTTGTCATCAGTCGGTGACGTCGTTATTACTGTCGGTATAAAACCATATGGAGGTGTACATTCTCTCGTGCTGTTATTTTCACTTTTACTAGACGTTCCATTTCTTCTTCGTGTTGGTTTAGAGCTACTGCATTTTAAAATAAACTTCACTTCGTTTATCAATTCCTCTTTGAAAACCACCTACACATACAAAAATCAATTATCACATATATCAGATAAATAAATATAAAGATAAATATATCCAAAGGTTTGTTAAGAACATAACTTTTACAATTATTGTTTTTAATACATTTTAAAATAAAACTTTTAAATCGCGAATTATAAGAAATTATCAAATTAAATAAATTCATTTAAGATTATCGTTAATGTTGTATCAATTTAAATATAGATCTAGAGTCACATTAATTTTGATTATCGTAATTCTACATTATAAAAAATTAGTAAAATTGTATTACTTTTTTTTTTAAGTTATTGCGTATATTAAGGAATGATGATATAAATCGCATGATATAAATAAACATAGTTTGCTTACATTTTCTCGAATGGACGTTCGGGCAACATCCCAAAGTAATTCGAAAATAGTGTACACACACGATAGAACAGCGCCTACACTGAGTACAACAAACACACCTCCGACATTATCGAGCCCGAGTTCATCTGCTGAACCACCTCCACCATTCTCCTACATAGCGATAATGAGTAAATTAAGACGATGTAATGTGTAATCTGCATTTTATAATAATAGAATCGTCAATTATATATATATATATATATATATATATATATATATATATGCTCACATGGCATTTGCCTCCGCCTCGTTTTTCTTGCCACCACTTTTTCTTGAGCTCCGTGATTATCCCGCTTTCCGATAGTTTTAAAAGTGCAGTGTTAAAATGATGTCGATATGGTGAATCTGAAAAATTACATTTTACATGATGTGATTGTTTGCTAAATAAAAATAAAATAATGAGAGAAAGAGTTCTAGAAAGAGATCTGATAAAAAAAGTTGAAGTTTCTGATTAAAATTGTGCTATTAAATCATTTTATTATTTTTGAAATAATTTTTTATATTTTATTTTTTCTTTTGATTCTCTTCCGAATTATGTTTTGATTTTTAATTTTGTGTTTCAACTATTAAAATATTTTACACAGACGAATAAATAAATGATATATTGTTGCAAATAAGTTTTTTTATCAAATTTTCTTTTGGACGATTTCAATAATTTCACTATTTGCCAATTATTAAGATAAGAAAGATGTTTAAAATGATGAAAAAGAACATGAAATATTTAACACTACACATTATTACTTTATAAGATTGCGGATATTATATATTTTGATAGAGCTTACATACGTTTTTTCATAGCAATTCCGTATCCTTTCTCGTCTAAAAGCCCGCCTACTTGAGTGACGTTGCACTCACGTTCTACGGTATATCTAAAATAATATATCGTACATGCAATGTGTATATAATACAATAAGATCACGTACGCACGCACGCACACACAAATGATACATACTCTATTGAGCTGGATTCCATCAGGAATGCGTAGTTTTCCATTTTAACTTTATTAATAGCAACATCATTGAACTCTGGTAAAACCTCTGCCTCATTTTCTGTCATGTATTTATACATCTCCTTGTACAACGGGTAGTCGCTATCCTGGGAATCGACAAAATTATTTTAAAGAATTGAGTTAGAATTTAGCTTTCATTTGTCATGCTTATTGTCTAATATTATTATTACTAATTGAGCACATTTAATGCGAATTAAAAGGTATTTTTCTTTTGAGAATATTTATGTCATTATTAGAATATTTCTGTGAAATATTGTGTACTTATTGCGAGATAATTAATTATTATTGTTACGTAAAATATCAGGACAAATGTAGATGAGAATTGACTTACTCTGAAAAAAAATAACGTAGATCCTTTACGTTTTGCGCCATATTTTATCGCACCCTTCTTTTTTGCCAATTCTTCGACATTGTCGAACGGTGAGACAACAGTTTCTACAGTTAAAAAAGCAGCGAGGTTTGCTGTATAACTCGACACCATGATAAGGCAGAAGAACCACCAGCATCCTGCCATCATTCTTGTAGAAATCCCACTGAAAAAGTGCAAAAATATTAAAAAAAAATAAAGAAATAAAAAATTGAAAAATTGAAAAAATGATAGAACAATGTAGTTTCATAAATAATACGGAAATTTTGAGTTTCTTAATTTCAGACGAGATTTGGAGGCATTGATTTTAACATAATAATTATAGTTTTTATGTATTAATATTTTATTATAAGAATTAATTTTATATATTGATATATTAATAAATTAATATAAAATATAGATTTTACATAGGGGCTATCTCCGACCCCTGTTGCATGATAGCTCCTATGGCGAACCAAAATGCATTCTTGAACGTAAACTGGTTCTCTAACTCTTCAGCTTCTTCGATACAGGGGTAGGGGTTGTTCCACTCAGCCGGGCAGAGCCGACCGATTATAAAAAATAGCAAAGAGACTATGATGTATGCGCCGATGAGATAGATCCAAACATCGCTTGAGAACGGCGACAAAAAACTGAACAAACTCGGTGGTGTCTTGCGTGGCTTTTGATATAGGATGCTAATCCCCAAGTTCATGAACGGATTAGTAAAGTCGACGACACTTTCGCGTTCTGAAGTGATTGTAAGATCCGATATGGCCATGTCTGCTTCCTAAAAGAGTATCATGTTTCTTTCTTTTTTTCCTTTATATTTCTAAATTTAATGACTTTAATCCCAATAATCTTTTACTTGTAGTCTTACAAAAGACTACAAGTAAAAAAGATATTATACTTGATTCAATACTAACATCATTCATAAGTTTTCCAAGCATGCCCGACCACTTTCCAGTAATCGGATTTTCGGATCCAGTTTGAGCTTCAACTTGCAATGTATAATTAAATCCAAGAATTTTACTGATTCGCTCGATTATATCTACGCCGAAGCCTTCATATCTGTCATTGCCGCTCAATATCGTTGATGATTCCTTTTGCATTCCATACGGATGTGTAAGAGAAATTAAAATGATGAATGTTTTGTTTTGCAAGCTTAGATCAGTATCAAAATTTTTCTTTTTTGTGCCGGTTTCTGGTATCCAATCAATTTTATTTCCTGCTGTACTATTCCATACACCAATTTTTACCAAGCCACTTTCAGTTAATCGTACAACATCCAACTGTATATTACTGCGAAGACCGTCTCTGTCAAATTTTACAAAGCCGCTTAAGCCTCTTGTTTCAGTCTGAAAGTGATAAGATTTGTAACGCGGTTAGAATAAAATTCTTGTATATTGTTGTAAGAGCTATAAAAATATTCAAACGCAGACATGTGTTTAAAAAATCTTACCAATCGCATAAAGTTGCTCAAACTCAATCCGTGTTCCCATCTGGCGCTACCATCGCATGGCAATTTCTTAACATCGCCTTTGATGGCATCTTTCAATTGCTTGAAAGCCCTTGCAAATAGTTGTACCGCGTCGTACATGAGCGCGAATTCAACTCGTAGCTTCGAGGGATCATCTAAGCCCCATTCGTTCTTGTGCTTGTCCAAAGTTCGTTGAACTATCAAATCTTCAGGGTCAATCAGGCGCAAGCCAGTGAAATTCACGCCAGAATACTGATATGGCTTTAAATCCAAGGTTTGCAGATCCTGCAATGTATATATATTCGTCGATATATATCATCTTAACTATTATATTATACCTTTCAGGCAGAACATAAACTATGCGAATTCATGCACATTCGTATTGCTTAAATATCGTCAAAAGTCTGCTTTCAGTATAATCAGTGGATAATTCATCTCTGAAACCCTTGTACATTTTGTCTTTGTGATATAAATTTTGCACTTCTCATACAAGTTTTATTTCTGTTTTATAGAATTATTAGATTTTATCGTGAAAAATTTTCATTATATCATTAGGACAGTGCATTTTTTAATCTTGTATAAAGCAACTTATATATCTTACCAAAGATGTTACAATCACTTGATTCTTGTCGGATAAGATTCCAACTTGTTGAGCCTGTGTGAGAACATCACTGAGTATGTCGTAGGAACAGTCGATGATAATGTTTTCAATTTCCGATGCTTTGATTTCTTGCATTGCTCGCCTACACAGGATTCGACACTAATTGTAAGTTATAGGTACAATTAATTTATGTCTCGACGATCTTTCTATTTTCACTTTTGACATAATTATTATTTATAATTAAAATGCAATTATTTAATTGCCTTTTCTGATTGAAAAAATGTCCAAAAATTATATTATTATTGAAAAGTTGCTAAAACTGTGTTGTTGCATCTCAGAAACAATCTTTATCTTCTTGATTAGCTTCGCAATTATATTCCGAATCGATCAAACGTGGAACAATAGTATATAATATTGTTTTATTTAGCGTTCTATGAACTCGAGTCAACCGGGATATTATACAAATATTACAGGAAGATGGTAACGCACAAATGCAGTAATGCATTTTAACGACCATTTTGAGAATACTCGTATACATATGATATATGTTTATTAGATAATATGATAATATATTAAATGACTAAAAGAGAATAAATAAGAATAGATCGAGAATAGAGAGAATAAATAAAATAGTAAGCGATAAACGTATCATGAAAAATATTTTTGTATTGATTATTTGAAAGATCTTCGAGATACACTGCGAAATTAGATATTTCTCTACCGCATACCTATAATTCGGTCCAGAACCTAAGTGATATACAAATGCAGAATTGCCGTGAGGGTCCCATCGTTTTAGCAAAAGATGCAGGCGAATCAGACTATCGGTATTCTCGTAAAGAATTGCAAAAGATTTCCATTTGAATTCTGTCACCAATTGATCGTATATCTGTAGAAAAGTTATGTTAGCATTTTTATGTTATAATTATACATCAAAAATATAAGGATAAAATTAAAATTTCAAGAAAGATTAAATGAAAAAAGAAAGGAGGTGAAAGATACGCCAATAATTGCAATCGATTCATTATTTATTTTTAATTTTTTTTATATCACCGATGTATAGACAAGAAGTATATTTTATTTATATATCAATAGTTGATTAATGGTTTTGTTTTTAATCATTCAAAATATATTAATTTACACATATATAATATTACTTCTACTTACTATTTATTTCAATTTGTAATAATGCATTATAATATCTTTCAAATTACATTTACTTACTCGTGATAACGAGCTCACGTGTGGATAGAGATTCAGACTTAATCCACGTGGCTCAGATAATTCACTGGGATCCTCTCGCACGGAAATGTGCGGTATTTCCATTGTATCGCATATGCTTTGCACGTATTCTGCGGTCACTTTTTCTTGAGGTCCGAAGATCCCAACTATACCCATGTCTAACAGTTCGCATACTAAACATTTCGAAAAAATCAATATACACAAAATACATCTGATAATGTAATAAAAAGTAATAAAAAAAATGTTATTATTTAAAAATAATTGCAATACAGTTATTATTTATTATTTGATCTCTATAGGAAAATTTATGTAAGGCCATATTGTTTCATATATGTACAATAATTAATGACGACGTGTGTTACATTCATATATATACGTTTGTGTTTCATTAAATGTGATTGTTTTTTTATCTCATGCGTTTAAACAAACAAACGAATGTAGTAGTATTTTAGCCGTATCATTCTAGTGTTAGCTATAATGCCTCACCTTTTGTTGATACTTCGTACAGGTCTGTGTCAATCTCGTTCGCTTCCGATACCAAATACACATTTGACAGTTCTTCGTTCTCATGCCTTTCTCTGTTAACCGCTTTCACTGATGAGTCAAACATCCGTTGAATCACATCATCTTGGTCGAACAGTCCCGCTATAATATTTTGGTCGTTTCTTTTTAAAGTCGAGACCCACTGACATGACCGAAATAGCTCACGAATAAAATCTTTCGTAAAGTATTATCGCATATGCGCAAACTCAACGAAGTGCGTTTCTTTCACAATATTTTGTTAACATTTAAAGATAATTAGCAACGCGAAGTAATATTATTTTCATAATAATGTTGCGAAAATTTATAAATGTTCAATAAATATCGTAAAATAAAATTACTTGAAACAGCAGACTATATTGTTAAATATTTGTCTACATCTTATCTCAAAATATATATTTTAAGATCGTAATAAAAAATGCAAAAATAGTGTTTTCGATGTACACATTTTATTTTTTTTCATCGATCAAATTAATGAGCATTCATCTTACCTATGTGGATCTTTTTGGAAAACCTAACACAACGCGGCAGGATAGACATATCGACAATAATATCAGCACAATGGCGTGTTTGGCCACCATCTTACGATCATTCTGCGCACACACAAGTAAAATTAAGGTAAAATTAAAATACACGCACTCTGTTGGCAGGTGCGGGTGCGTATCTAATAAAAAGAAAGGAGAGAGTATGAGAGAGAAAGATGTAAACGGATGTGTATAGGATGCACACGATCAAACGGAAAGATCTTAAACGAGCACTTAACCGGTCGACGTTATATAAACTAACCGGAAGGCATCGTGCTGGCTGAAAGTTGCTCTCTCGGCGCACATAAATATTTAGATCCGTCTAAAATCAATCTTCCAATATTGAGTCTAGTTATTTGCTTGCGTGCTCTTAATAAATCCGTTCGTCGCGATTCCACTCAGCAGCACATTCCACGCGACAAATATTATGTTACTTTCCAGCGAGTTTATTTTATCTTGCAGTCGAGAAAGTATATCTTTCCTCTCTCTCTCTCTCTCTCTCTCTTTCTTTCTCTCTCTGCGCTATGATTTTATGGTTTATAAAAATATTAATATAACATTAATATTATGTATGTATTGAAAATTTTAGTGGATTATTATTAGCATTTAAGTATCTTTAAACTTTATTTAATTTAATGATTAAATTTTTTATATTGGAGTAAAAATATAGTAGGTGAAACTGATTGAGAAGAATTATCACATAAATATTTTCACAAATATTACACATTAAGTTTACTTTTAAAGTTTAAGTTTCAAAGTTCTTTAATTTAGTTTTACTTAATTTAATTATTTATATTAATTAGCAATAATTACGTTTCTGCATTCTTGCTGGAAAGTAATTTAAAGGTATGTTTGCAAAAAATTTTCGTAGGAAAAATTATTTCTTAATTATGTAGTTGTGAATACGTGAGTCACTTGATAAATACTTGTCGCGTGATGGGGACCATCGATATAATTAATTTCTCAAAGCTATATAAATATTTGTCCGACATTCTTGGGTGTCTTTTATTCCCTGGACTAACCAGCGTCTGTCTCGAGAGTGCGAGCTTTTAGCAACATCTCATATACATTCAGAGTTCCACGTAACCTACTGTCATCGTGCCAAATGCACGCTGTCTGGCGCGTTCTTTTTCATTCATTCATCGTCGGGCACGCATTCACATCTATTTATTGGAGCCGTTTTAGATATTTTACAAAGTGTCGGTTTATTCAGCTACATTATTCGCGAAATAAATCGTGAAACTATAGCGATTTACTGATTGTGTGATCGGAAAATATTGTACGGTCTAGCACGCGTCGGCACGACATAGAAAACTAACGAAAATCTTAAGAGAGCGCATAACGACGTCGATATATTTAGACATCGAGCGTCGCCGCCGCAACTGGTGCTTGTCGCGTTCGTCGCGTGTGACATAGATTTCGATGGAATACAATTGGAGTATTTTTTTTACATAGAAAATTGACAGTGTGCACAAGTTTTATTTAATTCGACATTTAGGATATTTTATCTCTTTTTCGCTTTCTATTTTATATATTTACTACGAATAATGATATTTGGAGAACCAATATTCTTATTAAGAGAGACTTCAGTTGCTTCATCAAACGCATTCGGAAAAATTCGAGAAAAAATTTTCTCTCAAAAGAGAAATCAATTTTTAAAACTTTTCTCCAAATTAATTTTACTTTAGTCGTCTAAGGATTAATCGATCGAACTGAAGATTCTCGAGGTAGATGGTTTTTTCGAAAGCAAGGGGAAGCGTAGCGCGAGTTATTTGCAAGTTTTACTCTAACATATTGAAGCACGTGTCACGATTCAAGCGACAAACGACGGAGAATCGTTGTTTCTCCAAAGAGGATCATCTTTAAGGATTCGCAAAAGCTTACCTAAAGAATGCGATGCTGCGACTCGCCGTTCTATCTGACACGGAACTTTTGAGACGCGTGCTTTACCGAATGAGCTTTGCGCGATACGCGACTCTAAATCCGAACGCCACTTCTCACGCGTCTCATCTCGGCAGCGCATGCTCTAAACTCCCTTCCCAAGTTTTCACAATCCATCGTCACGGTGGTGGCATGACGTGTATACTTGGAAAGAAATCGGCAGAAATGGATTAGCATAAAAAACTACGTAAAAATCTAAGAAAATTTCGATATTTAAAAAAAAAATTGTCTTGGCTTGTTGCGTAATATGTTTTCTTTTCGAAATTGTATTCTCCGAGACGAAAATGATCAAAATTTATCTATATAGATATTCGTTTTGTTTGATGCTATAAAAATAATCAATGTTATAAAATTATAATCTGTCATTTTATGAAAAATTTCTGTGCGCTTACAGAAGACTGTCGCACAGTTGCATACTCAGTATTCTAATAATGGAATATTTAAAAACATTTTTTTAAATTTTTCTGAGATTTCTAAATGCTTATTATTAATGATTATAGATAATTGCTTTTTAAAAGATTTATAACAATGGCAAACCATAACAGGTAGATTACGTTTATGTACAATGTAGATTTAATTACGTTAATTCTAGTATGAAGGGCGTGGCTAAGTGAATATAATGACTAAACTGTTAAAGAAATTAGTTGGATATATACAAGACTATATATCAAGATAATAATCGCAATTGAAATTGAAAATGTCTAATTACTATAATTGTAAAGAAATGTATAATTACTATTGCTATGCAAAATTGAACTTTATTATTAGAACATACTCGACAGTGTAACTAGAGAGAAGTCATATTTTGATGTCGTCATTAATTCCTTATTTAGCCTTGTTAATTCAAGCTTGATTAAATTTCTATTTAATTTCTTGATTTTTAGTTTTATCGTTAAATAAATTATTATTGATTTTTTCTTATTTTCCGATTGACTATCGAGAAATTTAGAGAAACCTAATGTATATCTCCTAATGTCATTTACATATATTTATAATAATCAATAAAAATATATAATACGAATATTTCAATATTTTAATAAACACTGATTTTTTTTAAATTTCTCTACTTTATAGTTGATCAAAATTATAATACAAAAACTAAGAAGATAATTGATAAATAATACAATTGACTAAAATTAGTGATCTGATTGGCCAATAATCATTAATTAATCGGTGGGGGGGCACAATTAAAACAGAGAATGTTTGGATGAGAATTTACAGACGATTAATTTATTCACGTTTAATATGATGCTTGTAGTACATTTTATATAAGAAGTAGAATCGATAGGCTCTTAACAAACTCGTATGTCGCGACGTGTAAACGCAAATATGTAACAAGTTTTAGTATCGACGATATTTACAGTGGGCTTTGTATCGGTGCCTGTGTGTACGTATATGTATGTATATATATCGAGTGTCTGATACACGTTTCTATCATCATGCATTCGGAATTCTGGTGAATGGTATCAAGAGTAACGAAATTCGCGAAATGTGCAAGTACAGGAGAGAAGGAAATAAAATGTGGATCACATTCATCTTTGCTTCTTCACACTCTGTCTTAAAATAATGTTTGCACAAACTATTGGCACATTACGCACATTCTTTAAATATTATCGAGCATTCATATTTCGATTTACGCACCATTCTTTTCCGAAAGTTTAAACATTAGAAATCGGTGCTCGGAACTTTTATATATATATATATATTTTTTTTTTACGATAGAAGGAAGACTCAAAATGAATACTGCTTGGTTCACAAGGTCCGCATAAACGCGATTAAACGGAAACGTTGATCGGATGAACAAGAATTAGCAATAACAATGGTGTGTGTTCTTTGAAAATAATCTGAGCATTGTTAGCAGCAATCTTTTGCATTCGACGGAATGTTGATAACGCGTCTCGAAAACGCGAAGAATATATTATCCAAATAGTCTGAATATAATTAGAATAGTTCGCATCACATTAGTTCTAATTTGCTCAAGTAATATTTCATTGACCTTATGGACCCCGTCAGACCAGCTAAGGATAGGAATAAATTCAGATAAAGGTATATTCAGTACATATTAATTATCTATCGCGAATTGTACATATACATATACGAAATAGTTGGGTCGCGATAAAATTGTGTGAATGACAATTCGCGCAATCTCATTATTCGTCGTATATTGAAGATGAAATGTACGTTATTTATACGCGAGTAGAATTTTGTTCGATGGTCACATCCAAAATTTACCATGCGCGAATTCGCGTTTTGTCCGAAAGAATTCACACACGTCGGTGATTACATGATACTCGGATTGATTTTAATATGATACTTTGCGAGATAGCGACAATGCATCCCTAACGTCAATGAAAGGCCACCTAATTCAATGCGACTCTTGTTCACTCGCTCGTTTTCTCGCACACACCCTTTCTCGTATCGCGTTTAACAAGTAGACCCTATGAGGGGCTAGATGGTGGACTATCTTATTTGATAGTGGTTCGTAAAAAAAGGGACAGACAGACGTGTACATATAGTTAGAGGTAAGTCTTTACACAGCGACCCGCGAATCGCATCGCAAATTTTCCCATCTCGTAACGAATTTACAGGATGTATCCTTGAATTAAGGTTTTCCTTTGTAACAGTACTTTTCTGTATCATTTTTCAAGAAATGTAATGCCGAATCGTATCTTATTTGAAACTGAAAATTTAATTTCTCTATATAAAATAATAGTCGGACAATCGTTCGCATCCACATTTTTTTAAGATTAAAAATTTTACAATATAATTGATTTTTATTTTACAATTTTTTCTGGATCAAATTTTGTTTCGTTAATCGATTCACCTTATTATATTATACATATTTGAAATCGCATGTGAGCGAAGTAATTAAACTCCTTAAAGAAATTCAACATTCGGTCTTTCTTCGTTCGCTCGGACGTCCCTTTGTTCACGTCAAAGGCGCTTTTCCGACGAAGTGCCTGTACTTGTTGCACGCCGCGTACCTGCCATCCTCCGAGACGATCGACAGACTCGAATGTTGCCTCTGACGTCGACAGAGTACCTTCTTCGACGGCTTTTTATTCCCGTTGCCGCAGTCCAAAGCGTATCGCAATTCGCTCGCCATTTCCGAGCACACAGACTTCTGAAAGTTTCACGGAAAAAGTATTGCGACAGGCTCATGTATTGGCTCGAGAACGAGCCATTTAGCTTAAATTCATTATTGAGATTTAAACTTTAAGGTCTCTGCTTTATTTGCAAAGACGCAGTTAAAAATTCCGTTAACGAATCATAATCTTTATTTAAAATGTTTGAGCTGAGAGAGAAACTATAATATCACTTATATAATAGAAGCTACGATAAGTGATATGATTGAATACGACAGAGAAGAGGAAGATGAAAAATTCATATCTTACATTTGAAATAATTTTAGACCAATGTCTTAAGAAGATCCAAAAAATTTCAAGAAATTGAGTTCGTGCAAACAATAAATTATAATAGGGTATTTAATTATATGCATGCGAGTAGAAAGCTCAAAATTTCTCTTCTTTCACATTAAATTTATTATAAAATCTTCATAGCTTTAATGAATAATTCTTCGCAATAATATGAATAATTCTTTGTAATAATATACATATTTAAACTTAAATATAAAAATTATTATATAAATATAGAATTTTTAAAAATGTGCTGTTTTTTAATCATCAATATTTGTTAATGTTAAAAATATTAAAAGATATTAATTTTGATTGAATTCTTTAAGCTATGAGGATTTATGTAACTGATAATAAAATATATATAAAAATAAATGAGCTCACCTCCTGTGAATCCGTGACGGGAGAGAAGCAAGAAACATTGCGACACAACTAACAATGTCATACTAAACTGTCACATAACGCGTCTTGGCCTTTCAACTTTACTTATGGCTACAAATAATGCAACATTTTTGAAATTGCAATTTTCATAAAAGTTACTTCGCCATGACACAGAAATTCGTCTATTCGATAACGAAATTTTGGAGTCCGCGTGCTTCTACACATGGATCGGAAGTACTTTACATTAAGAAGAAAGATGCATGGTGGATAAAGATGATATAGTAATATTTTACGCAATTTAATATTTACTTGATATAATACGTTCAGATAGATCAATTTTATTCATGCCACAATTTTTAAATGAATCGAATATAGAAAGTGTGTACGTAAAGAGATGAGAATCGATAATCGTGCGTTCTTTAATTCAAAATCAACATTTTCTTGGTGAAGTTCTATTTTAATGGAAATATTATTTATTGAAGAGTTCCGGACATATCAAACTTCAAGAATGACTTAATCGAATTTACAAATTTCACGTTTTCAATTAATTTTAAGCAAAAATGATTGATTAAAAATATGTGTTTATTCTTGCTAATAATCTCTATTTTTTTTTCTTTTTGCAAAAAATCTTGGGAAAAAATAATTAATTGTTAAGAGGAATAAATTTTGACAAGATATATATCTTTTCTGTATCCACACTTGCTCCTTCGATTATCGCGTATTTTTATCTCGAGAAGCGAACGGACTCCGCGCACACTTACGAACGCAATGGTTAGCTCGTTAGCTACGTATTATGTACAGTAAAACGTCTTGTAATCTGGCACACGCTATACATTCACTATCTAGCCGGTATAAAATCGTGATTGTTCTTAAAAGTTTGTCTGTTACCGCAGCACTATAAATTCGGTTGTGAATACCACGGATTTTTTTATTTTTCTAGTATTTTTTGACGCCGTTTTTTGAGACATTTACGACTTCGCGAGGGAGGATCTGGCCTTTCCTATTGCGAGGCTTGAAAGTCTTTGTTTGTTAATCTAAGTTTTGATATGAGCAAATGGCAAACACGTTGACATTTCCAATCTTTCTTTTATGTCACTTTTCGCCTCAGATTATTTATATTATACGTGTTGGAATAATCATAGATTTTTCTATTGAAAAATTGGCGTTAATCGAATTTTAATAATATTATGAACAAGAATTTAATATATATCGTATAATTTTGATAGAACCAATTCATCTGTTCGTCAAAATATTGAAACTTTATATTCTTTTATTTATTTCTTTTAATTAACATATGTCTTGCATAATTTTGTCGAATTAGATTATTTGACAGGATTTCGGGAGGGAAATTGGAAATGCCAAGACTCGTTGCTTCTTCTGTCCGATTATTTAGTTTGTCCCTATAATTTTACGATCTTTACACAGTTTTCCGATCACTCGTGATGGAGTTCTTCCTTAGGTCCACTGAACTCGGATCGGATACGCTTTGAGGTACGGCTTGAGTTTAAGAATCTTTTTCGCAGCGCAGCGCGTACCGTCGCTAGTGCAGATCAGTAAAACCTTCGCAGATCGGTTTCCCCGAGGATTTCTGCTTCTAGAACATAACACCAAAATACCCGAGTCAGATTTGTTACACAAGTCATTGATCGAATAGCAAAGCGGGAAAAAAGCTGTGCGTCGATATAATCATCTCTGTTTATTTAAATAGCAAATAAATGATATATATATATATATATTTCCATCATGTTTTCTCGTTGCTGTTTTAAATAAAGATACATTCATGGAGATATTATCTGTCATTAATTATCATGACTTTTACGTGAAGCATCGCGTTGATTACTATAGAATCATTATTTCACGATAAATTTTTATTAATTTTATACAAAATTAATTGATAAATCAATTTTAATTTTATCTGTCATTTTCAATTACTGTGATATCGAGTATCGTATTCGTGATCGGTTGTGATTATACATTAGACCTTATCAGATCAATCTCGCGCATCACGCAGCACGGAAATTCAAGTATATGCCGTGCACGATCTATTCGAAATCCGTACTATTCATTGCGGAACAAGAGTCTCGTGATCGATTTAAGCGGATTTGGAATTTTTGGAGAACCTTGTCTCGCAACGCGAATCTATAGCGTTCCCTGAAGTAGACAGCTCACGGTTGAAAAGAGACTCGAGCAACACCCAGCAATGTGTTCGCCAGCTCATAGAGCTATTTGCTCTTTAGGGTACGTCCGGAATGATTCGCGCAAAGCTGCATATTCGTATCCCCGCACGAGCCCTCTTCAAATAGTTGCCTGTTTGCTTACCCCTTGAATGTATGCAAACGGTGGCACGAATACATATCGCATAGACCGCATGCCGCGAAGCTTTACATACGCTAATTCCATTTCGCTCTCGAGCAAAACAAATCTCGCTCGAAATTTTTTCATCAACTTCTCACTGGTCTGCGTTTCTGACAACCGAGTCTTCCTCCCGGTAATCCCGATGCTCTCGCATCTAATGCTTGCGAGCGCGGATTTTCTATTCGTTCGTGTAATTGGAGCAACCCAAGATCGCTCTTTAATGTCGGTGTTGGAGGAAAGAAATGCGAATTTTTTATTTAAAATTATTTACAACAAATTCTAATCTGCTGTATGTTCTCCATTATTAAGTACAACTTGTTCCCACATTTAGACGATAATTTTTTACAAATTCATCGATCTCACCATGACAATTTTTTTCATCTAATGAATTTTGAAGTGACCTAAATAGATGAAAATTTTATGTGACAAGGTCCGGAGAATAAGGAAGACGAGGTAGAACTGACCACAAAAAAATTAAAATAAAATAAGATTAAGATTAAATTTAGGAAGAATTTTTGACAAGTGTAACAAGATTTAATTCCTTTCTTTAAACATTGCTAATAATTATTTCTGATGAACAAAGCAGGAAATGTTTTCCGCGGGATAAGAATTTAAATTTTTTTCTACTACCAAGATTTTTCACAAATCGCAAATACTAATTTTTTCATAGCGTAGATGCAAGTACTAGCGCATTTTCAATGAGACAAAGGACGGATATTTGCTCGTCCGACTAACGACGATATTCGTGCGCAACGAAACAATAGGGATAATGACAAGAGGAAGAGGATAACGATGCACGAGAGGATGGCAGAAAAATGAAGGAATATTATACGCGCATATATAGTGGGTTGTTTCGCGTATATAAGTTCTCGCCGATGGATGATGGCGATCGATCGATCGAAAAAAAAGAGGCATATCTAACTATCTACCATATCTCGTGCTGCGCGCGAGCGATCAGACCCGAGTGATTCTTGTACCGTCGAGACCATTACAGAGGAACTCCACCAATATGCGAGCATCAACTAATGTATTCCCGCGGTATGTCGGGATAGATCGCGTCGGGATCGAGCCGCGTCGCGGCCGATAATCCCGACCTGCCGCCGATTTCCGACGAGATTGCCACGCGACCCTCCTCCACGTGCTATTTCGCGTCACTCACCCGCTCCTCGATCGCCACTTTCCGGCTCTTCCACACGAACTCGCAGACCGCGATCACGCAGGCGACGCCCATGCCGCCCATCAGCACCACGAAGACGCCGCCGACGTTCGCCAAGCCGAGCTCGTTCGCCGCCGAGCTGCTCTTCGAGGTGTCGTCCTGCTCATGAGAAGCATCGATTAGCCTGCGGTGTATTAACGCGGGCTATTAACAGGCTGCGAATATATGTATATATGCGAAGGCTACCCGTTGCGCCGATAATGCACATCGTCGGGGAAACCGGCGGTTTTCGCGCTTAGTCTGCTGCGCGTCGTTAATGTACGCGCGGTCTTCACGCTCGAACGTTCATTATTGAAGCGATTCGCGTCGCCGATAATATCGCGAAAATTTTATCCCGCACCTGGACTGGATGAATTAAAGCGCCGGAGAGGAGAGAGGAAGTGGTCTGTCAATTTTATTAAATTTTGTCCCTTGTTCGATATATGCTAATCTTAAAGCGCTCAATTTTTTTTTTGATTTACATTTTGCATGGGAAATATTCTACGTTCTAAACGTATTAAAAATACGTGTCTTTAAATTTACATTGCAATTTTTTAATTTAGATCAAAAATATATATGCTTGACACGGTATATCCAATTAAAAAAAAAAAAGGATGATCCTTTTATCTATAAACTAGATTTATTATATAAAATTAGAATATTTTACGGGATCATCATCTTTATAATTATTCTTAAATTTAATGGAGTTTAATTATACGGATATATTTCTGAAGAAGATAAACGAATAATATCTTTTACTTTGAATAAAGAATTAATAATTGCAGCTGACTTATTTCTACAATATGTGAAAATACCATGTTTTTAATAATACTTTACAATGATTGTAAGTGGGGAACTGGGGATCGAGGTGTTAATACCTCTCGCATAACTACAATCGTTTATCTACGTTTGTGCGTCAAATGTAATGTCGGCAAGTTTGTTCGAGGAAGGAGGAACCGACGAATTATCAGGGGAATTTATCGGCGCAACTACGCGAGAAATAGCAGTGCGCGCAACGGTGATCGCATACTCGGCGAAGTCTCGATTTCGCGAATTCGCGAAATAGTCTTCTTCGCGTGCCACCCCAGTAACCCTTCCCACCCTTGACGGATGAGAGGAGTTGCTGGAGTCTGGCGCAAGAATTTCGAACGCGCACTTCTTGACTTGGTGCTAGCACCAAAATATTTCGTGCGAAAAAAAACAGAACGAAAAAGACGAGGGGTTAAAAGTGAATTTTTCACGCGATCTTCTTTCGACCGTGATCTTAAATAATGCTCTTAATGAAATGTCATTAATGTTTTTTTTTTTTTATTAGATTTTGTCTTCTTTAATAAGACTTGAATGAGGTAAATTGTATACTCTTTAGCCAAAAATATATATATTTACTCACCCTGCAGGATCCGCCACCCCGTTTCTCCTTCCACCAGCGCGTTTTCAGCACGTGAAGCTTCCCTTCCTCCTGGAGCTTCAGGATGGCCCCGTTTATGGCCGTTCTGTATGGCGAGTCTGAAGTTCCAAGGTCGTTTTGAGGAACTTACCCCACTGCTTTTATCGTCTCGTAGCATCGTACTTCCGCGAAACTTTCGGAAGTACCATTGTGCCAATCGTTCCCTCGCGTCAACGTTTTCGCCCGCAATTCCGCGCGCGCGATCGCTTCCTTCATAAAACGACATTTTCCATCGACCGATATTTTCGCGCAGTCGCGAGATCAGCGGGACGACCGACTATACGATTTCATTCGATTTCTCGGGATGAGCTTGGAGGGATAAACTGACTTAACGCGCGATCTCTCGATTCGCCGAGGGAACGATTCGCGTTTTCTATTAGAATTCTATTCATTTGCATGAAGGAGAAATTTTAATTAAGTGAGACCTTTTATTCACAGGTGAGTCGCTAGGCTAAGTGCTTCACTGATATTGATTAGCTGCGTTTTTTTTTTTTAAACCATTGTACTATATATCTGCTATTCTCTTTTATCGATTGGAAATTATAATGCAAAGACATCGTAACTTCACAAGTTTTTAAATCAAATTACGCTTTTCACGTAAAAATTTTTTAAAATTGCATAATTTAAACTTTTGTAAGAATATTCGTAAAAAGCAAGGAAAAAAAAGTGCAAGCCAATATGAATTAGATGCGCGTAAAAATACATATAATAAAAAATGTTGTCATAAGCGTCAAGCAAATTGATATTTAATATTTCAATCACCAGGGACATATTAATACGATGTGATTATATTGTATTGGACGCGATAATATTTCTCGATAGTTACAAAACATAATGCTCTACTTTGATAAAACGTATCGATTCAATATTTTGACTGCAAACTTAATTATTATCAGAATATATTTGAATTCATCGAGTGCGGAAGCTATTCAGCAACGCTAAAAAATTTATCAATATGCTTTATATTTAATAGAATTAAATTTTATAATCGTGGGGCCGGAATATTATATCCGGATTATACCTGATCGATACGAATGAAAGATACATTTAATACATTTTCGCAGTTGAAGTGTTAAGGTTTTTTTCTGGATAATCTACGCGGATTATTCGACAATATCAGTACACTGATGAATCAAAAATTTTAATTTAATCTGAGATATATTATACATAAAATAAATTTGTCGATTTATTTAACGACATAAAAAATTATATTATTAAAACTCGTAATTTTCTCTCCTGCTATTTCTATTTTCCTTCAGCTTTAATCAACATTTTCCGTATTTTTATAATTTCCGTTAGAGAGTCGACGCTCAAAGTCTTGAATTTCCCGCACAATTTTGTACATGGTGTTTCTATTAGCACTTACTTGGCGGCATGGCTATGCCGTATCCTTTCGAGTCTAAGAGACCGCCGACTTGAGTAAGGTCGCAGGTCCTCTCGATTACGTATTCGATAGATGTGGATTCCATGAGGAATGCGTAACTGCCTTTCCCCTTGGTTACTCGATCCACGCCCTCGAGGTTGCTCGACGTAAATACCGTCGGCTTCGCCGAATCCATGAAGGACCACATGCGTTGGTACGTCGAGAAATTGGAATCCTAGATCACGTCGGGAATTTCGTGGTTAAGTACGCGTGCCGTTAAACGATGGAACGTAGGAGTGGAAACCGGTTAACCCCGAAGTAAGCATGCCTTACTTCGGCGTAGGCATCGCGCATCTCTCCGTCCTTAATTGTACGTATCGCGGCGCTTTCTCGAATTAATCGGGGAATATTCTCGGTCGCATCCTGCGGTTCCGCTATCGGCTCGATTGGAAATTCTTAGCCCGTCACAAGCAAATCCAATCGTGAGCTTTCGGATTAACAATGTCAGTGCTCAACCGACTCAATCTCTTGTATCGTTCCGCAAGTTCTATACTCTTGTAACTACTTTATTATTTTGTCGTGCGATATTTGACGTTAAAAATCGAATAACCGTGCTTGACGAATCTTGCCATCTAAATATACTCAAAAACGGGGTATACATTTTTTGATTGCAATCTCTCACCCTGAAGAAGGACGCCGTGCTACCGCCTTTGAGGGCGCCGTACTTGATTTTTGTCTGCTTAGCGAGATCCTCGGCGCTCTCGATCGGAGAATCCATCCTCTCGACGGTGAGGAAAGCCGCGAGATTAGCCGTATAAGAGGAGATCATGATCAGGGTGAAGAACCACCACATACCCGCGACCATGCGAGTCGACACGGCCCTGCGATAAAAGATCAAAGGCTGCATACCCGTGGCAAGACGCTGTCAAACTAAAAATTCGTTGCTCCCCGAAATTGTGCGCGCAAAATAGTCCGTAAAATTGTCTCGTTTGTAAAGCCGTGTGCTCGATAAAGCGAAGCGTGTCGAAAATACGAAGTACGCGGAGAAAGGAATCAATGGCACCTGCCGTTCGCGAAACTCTTTCCGAAGTAACTTGACGCCTTCCACGGGGGTAATGGACCGTACGGAAGTTCAACTTCGTTTTATGTAACGAGTTAGCTGTATACGTCGATATAACTCCGTTGCACAGTTAAGCAATTCGCGTGTGCTATTAAATGGCAAATGCGGGAGAGTCGGCAAGTGCATATATATATATTTTCATATGTCAAATAATTCGCCTTCACACATTCCACACACATATATATATATATATATATGCACACATTCTACATATCTATATATATATATATATATATATATATATATAGATATGTAGAATGTGTGCGGGCGAATTATTTGACATATGAAAATTGGTGCGTATACATAAACGCAATTATGTCATGTATAACGAGCGCGTGCAATTATTGGAAACTACTTGCGTAACGGCATTCCAAGCTGCTAGGCATGCCATGCGATTTCATGCATTTTGATGACCAGAGACGGACGAGGCATTCTGATTCATTACGTCGCACTTACGCACGATTTACCGGAAATTGTAGTACAAAGATATTTTCTTTCTATTTTTACCGAATATTTTAGAATCATATCTCTGTTGGAGCATATTTTACTTTCTCGGAGCCTTTTAATCTCGAATATTAAACATCTTGCTAATTCAGTATCATGTTAATTTTTTATTAAAGGGAAGTGCCTGCTTCGAATTAATTAGAAAGTAAAGTTTTGTTACTTCGTTACACCACTGCAACGCTTAATTTGCTATAACCTTTTAATTAAGTGGCTCCCTAATTAAGCCATCGATTAAATTTTCATTACAGGCAGGAGTCGACAAAAGCCGTTAAGAAATACACATTCCTGCTTCTAAATCCCACATTTTCCGGCATACTTGGCGTACAATCGGCAATTGCAGCAAGCCTACGATATAGCACGGTTTTTGAGCGATTCCTGTACGCGTTCGCGTAATCTACGACATTAATTGAAAAAAAGCTCGTTTGTTTTCTTTGTACGATTGCTAAACTATCGTTCAGTTTACACAATCTGGACCGACGCAGGGATACAACGGATTCTACCATCGTCGTATTTCACTTTTATGTATACTGCGCTTCGATAACTTACTTCGGCGCTATATCGGAGCCTTGCTGCATGAGCGAGCCTATGGTGAACCAGAGCGAGTTCAGTAGGGTGAACTCGTTCTCGAGGACCTCGGACTGCCCGTTGCACGGATGGGGGTTCTCCCACTCGTAAGGGCTGAACCTGCGGACAGGTGAAAGGGGAAGGTCCGAGATTAGATATCAAAACGTGCATCTTTCTATTCACGTATTATTATTGACGTTGTCATCCTGAAATGGCGCGATAGGTTTATGGAATTATGTGCTTCGCAGGCGAGTGGATCAATTGAGAGATTATTCAATTCAGATTCAAAGAAGCAGTGTGCAATTTTTCCATGATAGCGACACGCGTGAATAATATATGAAAATTAAGACATAATTTATATTATTTACATAAAATAATAATATCATTAAGAATTATTCTGGTATATTATATTTTAATTTCTCGATAAAAGAAAGTTCAATTTTTTATTACGGCAAAAAGTAATTATTTTATTCCTTTGGTCTCGATTATATCACTTGACCATGCGTGAAAACTCGTTTGATTAGTATGAATTAATGTACTTTATAAAATAATGTTTTTCTTTGATTTTCTTTTCCTTTAAATATATGTACAATTTTATACGTATAATATTTGATTTAGTTTCTGCACTCATATCGACACAAATAAGATAGCTTGATTTTAGCATCTCGTAGCAATTTATCAAGCTGTCTATACTTCTTAGTGATCGATCGCTCCTATGATTTATGCACGGGAAAGGCAATACTGTTTTTGTTTTGCCGAGGAGGATAATCAGGAGTATAACATACAACGAATGCAATGAGCATGTATGCTGCGCGCATGAAGATTGCTATCTTGATGCGTGAAAGAGAGCTTACTTGGGCAGAATGTCACAACCCTGCCGCATTAGGGAGCCAATGGTGAACCACAAGCAGTTAAGGAGCTTGAAGCGATTCTCCAGGCGATCCGGATTTTTGTTGCACGGATGCGGGTTGTACCATTCGTACGGTGTGAATCTAAACTCAATTGTTCCAAACTTGTTCTGATCCAATAGTCAAGCACGCTCTTTTAATATGACAAACTTCATCTCAAAATTCGCCCAAGATTTGTTCATTTTATGATAAACTTATTTTAATGCATATGATATAATATTGTGATTATATTCGAAGAGACATTTTTGTTGGGCTTATAATTAATTTGCATAAATAATTAAAATATATATATATATATATATATATATATATATATCAGAAACGATAAAAAGAACGTTGAATAAGCTGATTGAAATGAAAAATAGAGTCAAGTATCTAATTTGTTTTTGTGTTGCTCTAAAAGTCAAGAGAGAAAAGATATTAATATCGATATAAATTTAATTTTTAATCGCCGTACTAAACAATTTATTTATTAAATAAAAAAAAGTATAAAAATCATGGAAGAGAGGTTTGCACATTTTCCTTGTACTTAACTTGATGTACCGTGCTAGGTAGGAGATGATGCACAAAGTTTGCATCGATTAAATAGAAGATCGAGTTTCCCGAATAGTATCACGACATTTTGTCGGAGGAATTTAAAGTGGTTTCACTTGCCTGGCTAGTATAAAGAGGAGCACGGAGACCCCGAGATAAGCCGTCGCCATGTAGATCCAAACGTCGAGGCTAAGAGGGCTGAGGAACGAGAACAAATTCGGCGGTTGCTTTATGGGTTTGCGGTAAAGTATGCTGATCCCTGAAAATTCAAAATTCTCGTTTTATGCTCAGCCACGGCGCAGATTACAAGTAGAGAATGCATTGATGTGTGGACACAGTGGACCGAGTATAATTACTCGTGAGATTTATTTCACTGTTCTTTTACGGCCACATACGGCTCACAAAAGCATATAATGGTCCGCTAAATTGCTCTTACTAAATTATTTCGGAGATATGCAAGGTAAAGACTGTCGTATGCATTATGCTTTAGATTTCTATCATTTCATATTTTATATTACTTGTTTTAAATGCAACCTCTTAAATTATTCATTTCTTTACGTAGAAACATTTCAGTTATATGATTGAAAATACATTTTTTGCATTTTTTTCCCAGTTTTGCTAATGCTTGCCATTAAACAACTTATCGTTCTATAAAAATGGCAATAAAAATATTATAATACCATCTCGCGCAATATTTCACACTACACATAACATAGTATTTTTTTACGTCTCTTTATAACATGTTTATGTGATGCCATGGAAATGTAGCGGCATGTTTACTGCGCTACGTCGCAGCGTTAACTCTTACCTAAAGGCATGAACGGCGTGGTGAAGTCGACAGCCTGTTCCCGATCGTACGTGATGGTGAGATCGGCGATCGCGAGATCGGCCTTCTGATCAAGCAGCTCCTTCATCATCCCATCCCACTCCTTCGTCTGCTTATTGTACCCTCCGTAACGTCCGTCCGGCACAAGCCGGAACGTATAATTGAATCCAAGCAGCCGCGATATCTCGTAAATCAAGTCGACGCTGTAGCCTTCGAATTGCGCGTTTCCGGTGAGCTTCTCGCTCGTGTCCTTCCGCATGCAGTACGGCGCGCTCTGCGAGATAATGAGCTGCCGTCAACACTGTGCTGCACATATGCATCTGAAAGGATGCTGCGCGTTTACCGATACGAGCAGTCGGATTTATCGAACGATGGCTCTCGACAGTGAAGCTCTCGAGCCCGCGAGTGGAGTTATAATATCTGCAGAAGTAATCTCGGCGACGCTCATATAGGAATATCAAGATTCAAGTATATTCGATATACATGGAGAGACTATACACAATATTCACAATAGCGTCTCTTTAGGAAAGTTCCTCTCTTATAATAATAAATCGAATCGTATCTAGATAATATATGCAGTATAGTATCCCTGCCCTCTCACAAAAAATAGCGCATAAATATGAGCCATTTATCAGTTTTCATATTCCGAATTATATTGAAAATTAAAGAATTTCGTTTAAAGAAAATATTAAAAAAATTTTATCTACAAATCTGAATTTTTCACATAGATGCTAAAATATTTAATATTGAAAACTGCAAAAGAAGGATAATTATAATTTTTGATAATTTTAGGTTTCTGTAGCTGCGAAGCTATACGATAAACTTATTTGTTACATTTATTTCTAACAGGAGAAACGTGATAATTGATACAGTTCAGAAGTATTGCATCAGAAAAATGCTGTTCTAAAGTTTTGACAACCGTAAAATGCGTCCTACGTTCTTATAAATGATTCGTTTAGCTACGGATTTTGCTTCGGATAAGTTGATTGAAGAAACATCGGAGTATTTACGCGAATAATTCTCGTAAGACACATCCCTTACTTCTTACTGCGCGACTTTGCCATTGATAACTTGGTACCACCATTCCTTTCCCGAGTTTCAAGGTACTTAATACATTACCGACTACATTACTTGTCGCCGCAATTAGCGCGAGAATAAGTAATGCGAGTCGAGCACGCCGTGAAAACTTCAATTAAGCCGCGCGTATCCGGCAACGGTGTGTTTCCGTCCTTCTCATCTTCTTTCCTTTCCGGGAGAAAAAGAGGAAAGCGAAGAGCTAACGAGCACACAGAGAACGCTCTCTTCGCTAATGGACAGAAAAAAATTTTCCCCCGCTGTGACTGCCGCTTAAATGCGGCGACGTTCCTGTTTTGTTCGCCCTTCGATTAAAGCAGCGATTTTCGAGCTCGCCGCGCGATTGTCGCGAACCATTTTTTGTGGATGCGAACAGGCGCGACGTCTTCGATACCGGAATACACAATTCGCTATTTTATCTCACTTTAAAGCACCGTGCAAAGAAGTTTTTTTAAATTTATGCATCGGGTTAATTCCTCCTTTTCCAGGGGATTTTTTTAACTCCCACATGTACATACTGTCAAATTAGCATAAATACTTTCTATCCTGTTTAAATAAGATGAGATATTTTACTACTAATTTATATAGATTTTTTAAAAATCTTATGTGGAGATTTTATATATGTAAAAATGTATATTAAATTTTATTACTTCTTTTATAAGTTAAAATATTGTATTTAATTAGGTGTTTTTAAAAAATTTTTCTAAGATAAAAGAGAGACGTAAAAGATGTTATTATAATACTATCGAATTTATTAAAGAACTCGAAAAGTGGTGTATGATTTTTTTACTCCATTTGAATAAAATAGTACACGATTCTTTCTCTTTCTTTCTCTCTTTTAGGAAACTTATAAAACTGTGAATTTAAGTATCCCTGTTTTCAAAGATAAAAAGTTTTATTCAGTGTATATGTTTGGCAGTGATTGTAGTAGATATTTTGGAAACATTACTCACCAGTATGGTCGTCACGATAAAAGTCTTATTTTGCAAGTTTTCAACGATTTGAGTGTAAACGTCGCCGTAACTCCTCGTGAAGTTGATACCCTTGGTACTGTTCCAAGTACCGATTTTCTTCAATCCCTCTTTGCTATTCAGTTCGATGATGTCTAGGACAAAGTCAGAGCGAAAACCCTGATGATCGAACTTGATAATACCTGTCAGCCCCGTCATTTCCACCTAAAATGTAGTGTAAAGAAAATACATTTAACAGTTAATATAATATATATTGTAACATAAATACATATTAAGTTATATTTGTAAATATGTTAAATTTTGTTACTAATTATTATTAAATAATATTTGTAATCACGAAATTATATCCGAATATTAATATCATATTTATAAATGTATAATGTTAAAATTGTTGACAGCCTAGATTATATTTATGCGCATTAAATCGAAATATCTCGACATGCTATTTAATACGCGAGCAAACCAATATACGATTAATAACAGTTTTACTGTATACGCAATATCCGTAAATCAGTAGTTCTCAAAAATCGTGGCACATAAATGTTGCCTAAAACGTAAATCTCTAACTTTGTACCTTAGACTTCGTACCTGTTTTTATTGTTATCGCCGTCGAGGGAAAAACTGATTAATAATTTCGCTTTATATAAATTGTGTTATGTACACATATGTAGGTGCCAGTATAAACACTCGACGTACCGTGATTTCTTGAACAGAGAAAATTTGAACAGAGAGAACCACCAGACTCTCTCTATGTAAACTGGAGTACGACGAGATTCGCGGTGCATGTATTACGCATACATACGTATAGGGTTTGTCAAAACATTTGCCGCTTGTAAAGCTGACGTATATAAAGCTAGAGCGAGCGCCTGGCGGCAGTGTGTCGGGTGTTATAGTTCACAATTACATTGAGACGCAGAAAACGCATTAATATGCGGCAACATTTTGAGACGGAAATTTCGTCGCGATATTCGTAAAGAGAACGATTCGCGAGTAATTAACGCTCCGCATGATAACCGAACCTTCCTATCTTCCTGCAAGTTACAATTGTACATATGTGTGTATTCGTATAAAACGACGCGGTATAATTGCGGACGAAATTCTCGGTGACTGCTTGTAATTACTGGTTCATGAATATCGCGAAATTAAATTCAGTCCTGACGTGCGAGGATTAATACAGCTAGCGTTACCGACGATTTATGGTGTAATTCTTCGAAAAAGTAAACCATCCCCCGGTTGATGATTATATAGGACAATTTGTTTGCTGTAAGAAACTGTCGGCGATGTAATGTAACGCGAATTGGTAACTTACATCACTCGCCGCAAAATCTTTGTTTGAGAAAGCTATTATGCTATGATTTAGCCCGTTATAGTAGAAGAGTTTCTATCATAGTTTATGAGAGCGCGTTTTCTCAAACGAAAACGATGTCATAGCCGAGAATTTGTATCTTTAAAACTTGAACGTTTCCTGAAATTGCATATGTAACGAAGTCTCACGGTTGATTCTTCTCTTCTTTTACTCTTCTCAGGCTGTCAACTTGGAAATAACATCTCGAAAAACGTTTCACATGTACTTTTGAACTCGCTAATGCTCTTGATGACGAGATAAAACTTCAATATTATTCTTTATACAACAATTTTTTTTATTCGCTTGACTGTGTCGCAAATATTATATTTATATGTAATCTCTGTTAATTATTTCTGATTATAACTTCTCTAAAGATGATTCAAAAAAGGATCGAAACGTACGCTTTAATTATACTTATGACTCATATTTTAAATATATATACGCTCTACTTCCTGTGCTGGGCTCTTATTGTCATTTTTACTCCTCTTTTATTCTATTCAGGAAAGCCTTTATAATTGTATTATTCATAGCTGAAAAATTATTCGTGCGGACATGGTAAATTATTTATATTTTTTTCGCGTATTGTCTCATTTCTTTTTAGTCTTTATAATTCAAAAAAGAATTGCCGTAAATATCCAAAATATATTGTAGCACATTAGATAAAATTTTATTTTTAGATGAGAAAGACACATAAAATTCTTTTTTCAAAACTATATTTTTTCGAACAAATGTGTCTCTTTTTTTTTATTAAAACAAAACCTAGAAACGTCACATGTAATTCGAAACGGTTGCGCATTTTTCGTATAATAATTCGGATTTAGTCGCAAGTTCATCAAAATTACACGCGCAGGCTTGATTCTATCGACATCAATTTTTGCTGATCCTTGTCAGGGCGTTCAGCCCGTCCTGCATGACAGGCTTCGCTCGTTCGTGACATGTACGCAGTCACGGTTGCATATGAGAGTCGCCTCCGCACGGAGAACATATCTTCTGATACTTGTCAATTTCGACACGGCGAATGACGAGGCAAGTTCCCTCGTATCCTGCATGCAGTGCGTATTTATATTCACGGCAACTCGTATCGCGGTGCTGATGCAATGCGTTACCATATCCCACGTGCGATTTCGGCGTTAAGCAGCTGGAGCATGCCGCGCATTCACTGTTACGGCATACGAATAAACAAATCGTCACCAAGGCAAATGCGAGATACAATCTTGTGTAGCATTACTTGCGCAGATTATCTTTTGCATACATTATTTTAATCACTACAATTTTTTTCAATTTATTTTTCCCCTTTAAAATACAACCAAATATATATTTTTAATAATTTTTTATTACTGTCTTAAAAGGCTCAATATTTTGAATTTATTTTTTAAAAAGAATATAATTTCTCTTTAATAACATAATAAAATTTTGTCATGTTTTAACAATGATATTAAGATGTCTGTCAAAATATTACATTTAAATAATTTATAAGTTATATATATATATATATATATATATATTGTTTATAAATTTGCTAAATGGATTTTGAATCAAGTTTTCTATAAACTTTTCTGGGAAAGGAAATTTATATCAGTGTAAAGAACGAAATTTTGCTTAATAACTGTTGTCTTTTTGAACAAATCTTTCGAAAAGCGAATCTTTGTGAGAGCCACTCGTATTGATTATAGGAACTTTATTGCGCGTATTTGGCCTGAATATCGCGCGCCAATTCATACATTGCGCAGCATACATCCTATGGGTCTGTGCAGGCCTTGGCGTCAGAGATGCACCGGGGTAAAACCGCGAACGACAATTTGTCAGCGCGGTGCGACAGCTTCGTTTAAACTGGAGTAACTTTCTATTGTTCTGCGAGAACAATCGTGCGGATCGTGGAAAGTCAATGCGTCCGGGTTTCGCGTGATTTCCTGCATCTCGCGCTAGTGTCACGTATATTTATCAATTTTTTTTCTCTTTAGCTTTGCACGCTTTTTTGTATATGTGTCATGCATCTTGTTTCTTGCATTAAGGGCCATCCGGAAAATCCACAGAATCTGCATTGATATTAAATTAATGAGTTTAATCTAGCTTTCATTGTTTCATCAGTAGTTTGTATGCACGAGCAAATTTGTGCCAAAGCGGTATATCTGATATTTACTTGCGATATTAATAATACTGTTAATTCTCGTATGCAGGATTTTAAATATAATAGGCTTTAAAATTTATCAATTTAATACAATATTTTATATTACGTATATCCGTGCATTAATATTGAGTATAAAAAAAATTTATAAATTTTTAAAAAGTGTAAGCTTTCATTAAGTAATGTCATATTTGTAAAATGTAATCTCTTATTGAGATGTTACAAGAAATAAGAAGAGAAAAATGAGAGAGCCTCTATATATATATGTATGATTTATGCGTTGCAGAATGACGGATGGATCTATGGTGCATTCCGCATGATGTACATATATGACAAGACTCATGATGCTTGTTAATGAGCGATGCGTAGAAGGCGAGCGAAGCGAATAGGTCGGATTAAGCATATCGTTATAATGGCTTATTACGTTGTCGGTGCGATCGATCGACGATGCCCATAATTTTGCAAAATTAATTTCTCCCTGGTGTAGTACATTCGCGATAACCTGCTTCTGCGTTGGATAATACAAGCGTATACTAATCATGCGGAAGATAGTTGCACCGATACACAAACATTGTTTTTATATCATCAAGTTTGATGCGTGCGCGTTTTACACGAGGTTGATAGACCGATAATATTTTAATTATAAAAATTTGAAAGAATCGCGCTGATTCGAAACATGTTATTTGCTATCTCTAAATCTATTATTATATAACTAATGTAATTAATTAGACGTCGCAGTATTAGAATGTAATTGGCTTATTTTATATTCACTTTTTTAATTAATATGAAAATAATGCATTTAAAATATACTTAATGTAAAAATTATATTACTCATGATAAAAGTATGATGAGAAAATATTAATTAATAATGATGAAGACATATCTTTTCCATTTAAAAGAAGTGTCAAGAAGTGTCAAGTGCATTTAAGAAATTAAATAAATACGTGAGAACCTCTTGAAATTTTTTCTAACGTGTATATTGGAAGATATTAGAATTATTTTACATATTAAAATAACCTGATATTACATTTTAGATAACGTAAAAATAAGAAGAACAATATGTTTCAAGATGCATATATTTTTCTAATTAATGCTACTTACGATCTTCATATAGTTAATAAGTGAATATCCGTGAGGCCAAGTGTCTGTTGACTCGCAGGATAACGGCTTGATATCGATTTGCTGAGACGTGTCGAGATCGTGCAATGCCTTGGCGAAGAGATGGACGGCATCGTACAGTAAGGATGTTTCAGTCTGTGAATCGCAGACACATGACAAAATGTCATCAACGACAGAGATGTGCTTTGTGCAAGATACCTATTTCACGCAAAGTAACAAAGTAGAAATATTTTAGAAGGGAATGCAGGAAAATATTTATACCGAACAATTGAAAAAAGATCGCAATCGAGAATTCTAAAGATCCGTCTTTGTCAACTTTCCACGAGATTTTCAATTTTTGCTAAAATCTTCTATAAAATTAAAAAAGCGCGTCCGCTTGATTAATGAATGAATAGTCATGAATGTGTATGGAAGGCGAGAACAGTGGAAACAGATTGCGCTTACTATTCGCGTAGTACAACTCGATCATGTGAGCGGACGGAGTCGACACGTGAGTGGATCAGCTGTTCGCTGTCATGAGATTCGCCCGCGCGAGCATGCACTTTTTTTTGTAAGGTCGCCGTATCTCCGGTCGTAGCGAGTTGAAATAAATTGCGAGACAGAAGCCGAAGGTGTACAGCGTTTTTCCATCTAAGAATAGCTATTTTGATCGCGTAATCTTTTCTCTAACTATAACATATATTTTTTGTGATTGATATTTTTTATGATCATGTCGCTTTACATATTTTGTATACTGAATATTCTAGAAAATGATAATAAGATTGATAATAAGGTTTTGGACAAAAGAAAAGATATTATAATTTAATTTTCTGCGTATGAGCTTACTTATAGAATTTAATATATTTCTCAATATACCAATTTATTGAACACGATCGGAAACTTATTATCATTATATACTATTCTGTTATATTATAAATTTTTGAAACATCTTATATATAACAGAGAAAAAGATATGCGACATTATTAAAGTGTCCGATATCAGAGAGAAATATTTGATGTCATCGATTTCCAGACTATCTCAAGCGAAATCGCAATTCTACGCTGACGATATTGAAATTATCAAAGAACGTGACAAAGAATGGAAAAGCTAGATCCCAAATCTGCCGTTCTTCGAGAGGAATCGTATTTGTAGGTGGAGATCCGACGGGGAATTCCCGTTTCCGCGCCAATGCAAGCGGGGGAAACGAAAGAACGAAAATCTCAGCTCCTGGGAGGATTTCACGGCAAATTGGCGCCTCTGTTTCCCCGACATTTATATTTCGTAACTCGCGCGCACGGCATCCCCGCGATACTGTCGCTGTAAAAGCGGTATCATCTTAGATATCGCGCCGTGGCTGTACATTCCTTCCGATATATTCGGGACAACCAATATCCTTACCGGATTTTACGAGGCCTCGTCCGGAAAGCGTATTTACGGAGGGACAAGTCAATGTATACGATTCACATGTTTCCCAATATAAAGGGACCATAGGGTTCCTTATACTATATAGATACGCCAAAGTTTCGGTCAAATAGAAGTTCCATGAAGAAGTCACACTTTTCCCTAACTTTATTTATTACCCACATCATTTACAAGAGAAAAAGACAGAGTTGAATACATGAATTACCTTGAAATTGCATATTAAACGATATCAATATTCCGAATGTTTAATTGTCTAATGATCGGTAGAATTTCATTTTTTCTGTCATCTGTGGCGAACTGTCGCATTAACTATTCGGAAAGATTTCTTATTAAAATAACTTTGTTTTTTATTGGTTTTATATCAGAGAAAAATTTAAATGACATCTAAAACGGTTTCTATAGTTTTTTGATACTTCACGAGCAAGTGAAAAATTCATTCGGAATGCAGTTACAATCGGAATCGTAAATAGTTCCACAGTTTTCTCAAGTCTTCTTTTGTTTAAAAAGAATGTAATTAAATTTTAATTTGCATTCGCATTGATTCGTTCGTTTTCTTTTTATATCAAGTAGTTTAGAATCTAATTAATTTTTCGTAATATAAAATTCATGTAAAATTAATTTTTTATTGACAAATTATTTTATATCTATAAATTTTTTTTTTTTTAATTTTTGAGAATTTGAAAAACGACAATGTGTCATGATATTTCGTAGCACAACGTATTTTTCACACGCCCCCAGCAACGAACGTATAATTTAATATAACTTTGTATTAGCTTTTGGTAATTATGATCGAATCGATTTACTGATTGAACATTCTTGTATTTTGCCGATAATTTACTCATAAATAATTAATTACGAATATAAAAAATAAATCCAATTATTTTAATTGATGTGTATATTGATAGAATTCACACATAACCAATTAGTTTTATCATTGTAAAATTTATATAGACGAGCAATTACTAATATCAACATTTTGTTACAAATCTCATAGAAAGGGAATATATTATTTCTCAGGACATGTTATATTCAATAAACTTTGACAATTATAACTGTTATAATTAATATTTTTTTATCTATTTATAACAAACGTGTGTTTAACTTACCTTTATAGTTGTGAGATTATTCTGTTCCATGCATGCGTGAAAAAAAAATACAATTTAATATTTAATTTATAAAATATTTTTATGGAAGGTTTAAAAAAATATACTTTATTGTAGATATAAAAAGTCAAATTAACATGGCACGTTAATTGAATAATAGAAGCAACAATTTTAGAATAGAATAGTCTTTTAATTATTTACATAAAAAAGCTGAAAATACGAATATAATTGCTAACTAGTAGGATATAAGTTTAAGTCTACTGAACGATGTCGCAAAATTATTCGCAGTTCACGCACAAGTCTTGAATAACTCGCTACTTCTATCCTAACGATCCTACCCTCGCTACACATATGCACATATATATCCCATCTATAATCAAATCAATATACTGTCCGTTTGTTTGTCGTCGGCTTTGAATACGCGATTGAGTTAATTAGCCTGACTTTGACGCGCTCGTAATAGGATTGTCGACATTCTCCCGAACGACAGACATATCCCCGTTACGGAATTTGGCCAAACGTGATTGTTCGTTATGCAACAACGCGATTACGTAACGTTGCTATTAAATTTTGAATGACAGCGCGTCGCGACGCGGCAGAGACGCGGATGGATTCAATGGGGCTGAGTCATCTCTCAATTGGTTCAATGATGCCTATTTAATGTTTCGTATATCCTTTGATTACGCACGTAACATACTATTCAGTTAAAGTAATGTGTACATGGATTTGCCAGTTAAGAGTCAATTGAGAAAATATACCTGCAAATTCTGACGAAATAGATCAATTATATAAATTGATATTATTTTCATCTATAGGAAATTTCTGTCTCTTTTGAAATATATGTATTGCAGTTGCGGTTTATATAGTGAAATATCTTTCAATAAAACCAATTTTAAATGAATATAAAAGGGATATGAACATATCGTTAAATAAATTCACAGAGTCCATTAAAAATCTTGAAAAAACCTATTAATCTAATAGTTTTCTTTAAAAAACAAGTTTTAGCTATCAGTAAATAAATCACAGTTTTCACAAAAGCGATAAAATGCTCGAGTACGATTGAATGGGAAGGATATTCAGGAGAATATAATAAAATTGCGAAATGCTTTCTTGAAGAATTGAATGCACGAGATGTTCTTAGCCCTGTGAGTTTTCCGTAGAGGAATCCGCAAACCTAGCGGCCATTGTGCAGCTCGGATAATCCACCCTCTTGGCGGTAACCAGCCTCGTGTCGGCTTGAGGGTGGAAACGCCCTAGAATTTGCCCTTTGCTGATAAATTTCCCATGAATACAGGCGCCCATCTAGAGATAGAGGTTTTCCGTCGATTCCACGGTCTTAAAGGGATTCATTCTATAAGGACATCTTGACGGAAAATGTTCTCTCATTCGTATATATGAAGAGAAAACGAAATCGTCTTGTTCATTTGAGTTCACTCTCAAGTAACTACTTACTAAGTAAATCTGATTTGTCTTAATCCTTCTACAACTTGTAAATGATTAGTGTATACTTTTCTCAAAGTTAAATGTTCAATTTTATTTCAAAGAATTAATTGAGATAACATCCAATTTTATTAGCAAAGAAAAATAATCGATAAATTATTCCCAAATGCTTCCCAATGCACTGAAAAAAATTTATTGAATTCGAATAAATGTTTCTTTCAATACTGCCTAATAAATAATTTATTTGAAACCAATAATATTGATTCGATGTGAAAAATATTTATTTGATATAAGAAAATCCTTTTCAAAACAGATAAATATTTGTTTCAAATAGGTATATAGTATTGAAATAAATATTTATTAATTTAATAATTTTTTTCAATGTATAAGTATAACTAAAGTACAAGAAACAGATTCGTCACATATTGTTACCAAGTTTTGGATAATAATGGTATGATGACATAACAATGAAATAATACGCAAAGTCAACAAATATATACTTATTATCAACGAAACATTAAAAGTCTACAACTTTAAATGTCTGGCAAGTTTTTCTTCATTAATAGATGTCAAGCATGGAGAGAGTACGATCTTACTTAAGAATTTGAATTCTGATTTAAGAAGTTCACTTGTTCTTTTTTTTCGCGGTTGTACCGCGATGTTTCTGATTTTTGAGATAGTAGTAGTGGTAAGTCTAATAGTCGGCGTCTCGCGTAAAGCTGCGATACTGTGCCTGATGAAACTGGCGAATTGAGAAAGTTTTTATTACTGATGTTTCTTTGCGTGCCACAAATGGATGGCGCGCCGTAGTCTTTGGTGGCAATTCACTTCGCGCGGCTTTCAATTGACGATTTTATAACTTTTATTTTGTCAGATTTTACAAGAGACCGAGTGTTTCTTTGTATCGGCATTTCATTGTCCTCTTCTCGCTGAAGCGAGTAAGTGAAGACGCGCTATCCATCGTCACAATGATATATCTTCCGTGAACTATTGACTGTTTCTCCTCACTACGAGAGAAAAAAACACCACAAATTCTATCCGTCTGCTGCACGCGGTAAAAAATACAATATTTATAAACACGTCTTTAAAAAACAGCAATTTTTCATTGCAAATAGATTTAATTAAGGAATGTACAGAGAAATTAAACAAATACTGATTGGATTTTCGTCTGTACTTTGTTTTCTTAGAAGTATTATTTTTCAAATACATGATATAGTAATCTATATATTAATGAATTAGTTGTATTAAGAAAATCGAAAGATTAAAGATACAAAAGAAAGAGAGAAAGAGGATGAGAGAAGTTTTGAACATGAAAATAAGATATTTTTTTTATTTATTATCAGGTCACGGCGTATATCAATATAATAGCGATTGGAAATGTAATAAGTTGTCTTCTGTATATGTCTATATATATATATATATATATGCATTTGCCGTATTCATGATACGAGAAGTCATTTTCTCCGTGTTATGAACAGGTCACAGATCAAACGGGTGAGGGTGCTTTAAAAAAAAATAAAAGAAAAATGGAACTACTCTGAAATTATAAAGAGAAGAAGATGGAAAAAAGATGGATAATTTATGGTGTCCTTAAAACGTCTGAAGCTATTTCGTCGGGGGATTGCAATTAGTTATTTTTTATAAGATATAAATTAAATTTTATTAAATTTATGTTATTTATATTATTTGTATATTATACGCATTTGCGTTTCTACTTAAAAATCCTATATGTAATATTTCTTTTTAATATATTTTCTGTCTGTGTGCAAATCGTTTCAAGCATCTTCAGTTAAATTACTTACATAATTTTAATTAAAATTCAACAAATTGCTTTAATACGTCATGTTAATAAACTTTACAAGTTGTGTAACACAAATAAGATCGACATTTTCAAAATATGCTATATTATCCAACATATTAACATTTATTTTTTTGCTATATTTTCTTTATAATCCTATATACATTGTAAAAATGCAATACTTAATACATTTTATGACTACGTTTTTATAGCTTCATAAATCTGCAGTTTTATCTTATGGTTTTGATGTAGCGTCACATCTGTAGAGACATAAATACACACTACATCAAACAGCGAATGTATTGAAGCTTAGCAATATGCGGTTTAAAATATAAAATCCATAAAAAAATTACAAAAAAATACATCGTTTCTTCCACAAAGTATTGCAAAAAATTACACACGTATAAACAATATCTATTATTAAACCATAAATTGCACGAAAATAAAGTGCTACAAAAATAATCACTATTTTCGAACGCTTTGGCAACCGGGTAAATATTAGTGTGTTCGAATGATATTTCGGCTTTCGCGCGAAAAAGGTAAACGACGTGAGAGAGCATCTTTTGCGGAATAATGTCGCTATTGCAACGAACGATGCAGGAGATCTGTCACATTCTCGTACAGGATGCTGCAGCTACGCGTATACCGCAGAACATCGGCAAAAAGTTGTTGAAAAGTTTGCGCGAACGTGCAACCGTGTCGGAGCAAATTGGCCTTTTTAAGGGCCCGGACGCGCTGGACGCGGCAGATGTTGCTTCCGTCGAAATAGCCGAACGTACGGATTCGCGTTCCTCAACTTTTCTGCAGTTGATGCCGTGCCAGATGCGACGGACGATATAATTCGCTTTTCGCGAATTGGCGCTTCGGTATTTGCTTCTTTTTACGGTACTAGCAATAGTTCATTCTGGAAGAGATTCAAGGGGGATTTTTCACTCTTAACATTTTTAAATTGTGTAACGCGAACGATATATGTGATCCCACTCACGTTGGATATACGGTATTCATGGATTATACAAAATTCGAAATACGTTGTTTATTTAGAGAAACGCAAAATTTGAAATTTATTTAACGCGATATATATGAGAATGATGTATGTTACTCACATGAGATCTATCGCATTTTTTTTTACCGCGTTATACATGAATTCGTATTATTGGAAGAGTTATATATGAGTTTACTGTAATTCCAATTTTATACGATTAGATTACACTCGTGAAATTTTATGGGAATATATACTGATACAAGAGCATTATTTATTATGCAAGAAATTCATCATGCATTACAGAAGAACCTTATTTAAGTTTAAAATAGAACCAACGCAGTATACGTTTAATTAGCAGAATGTAAAGCAAAATATGAAGATAAAAGTAGTAAAAGAAATGCTTTTTCTTGAAATATTTAATGTATGCTTATTTGTTTGTAAAGAAGCATATTCTTTTATGTATATGTATTGTTACTTTTCCGGTAACATAATGCATGTAAAATATACAAAACAAACGTAATATATACAGCAGCATAATAGAGTTGCAAACGGCGAATATAAATGGAACAATAACAAGAATGAAAGCAATAATCTTGGAAATAATCTTGATGGATAAATGAAGGAAGAAGCTGAGACTATGATTATTCGATATATTTCTCGAGATATCATGAATAGTAATCATTCTCTAATAATTATACACCATTAATTATGGAAATGCAGGATAATTAACGAATCGACAAACATACAATTTGTCTTTAAATCGATTTATTTCTCATTCAATGAGTATCATTTAATAGAAATAAATTTTTATCTATAATAATGCAATACGTGAACATTATGTTGAAGATAAATTTTTAAAATATTTTCAATTTAGTAGAAAAAGATTAAGATATATTTTAATATTGTGATGATAATAATAATAAATCTTTTAGTACAAGAAAAGTTAAAAAATCAATTAATACAAATCTTCGCTCGTATATTGTATATGCAACTAGTGATAGATAAAAAGCCAACTTATCGAGTAATTATTAGAGTTGTTCTGTCAAATAAAATTTATTCCATGTATAAACTGAACATAAAACATTATGTGAAAGTTACAAACATTCTATACTAAAACTTAAACGAAAATTACAATCATTATAAAATAAACGTTTCAACCGCACGCAGTCTTCCTCAGTATTTTATATTACAGTAATTATTAAAACAATACAAATTCATACAAAAATTCCACATAATATCGAAAATTAATGTTGGTTCTTCAAGAAAAGTTAAACTTAAAGATACTTTTTTCAGAACGTTTTATTTTCAGATATTATTAATGAGTAATTTTGTAACGTCTGCTTTTATGAAAATCTTTTGAATTATTAAATCTTTTAGAGGAAACGAGCGCTAAGTCTCATGTTAACGCTATACATCCAGGTCTGTATATCGACTTAATCGATACGTCCAATAAAATGTCGACACCTAATGGAAGTCTGCGAAACTCGCGTGTACTTTCTCATGTACACGTGTATATACCTATGTACCGATTAATTTGCCGCCGTTTCATTACGCCGTTACATGTACAGAATATGTGTTCGTCGAAGTAGGTAAACTGTACACGTAATTCTCTGCACTACGAGTTCGCGCGACGTTCTCGTACGGATTGTACTTGAAATCGGCTTACAAAAAGTGAAAAAAGTAGTATGCAAACCGCATCTACGAATAACGCGGAAATCGTGTTTACGCATGGACTATTACATTCTGCCTGACCTGATCTTTACAAATTCAAGAGGTACATAAAACCAGAAATGTGTTTGCGTTCGTGATTTTACGAGAAGATGTAAAATTAAAGGCAATTTGCTTGTACAATTTCGATATTGTATTAATATTATATTAATCGCGTAGTATAATATTACATTGCGGGTATGATTTGTGTAATATAATATTATGAATGATTTGTGCATTATGTTTTACTTTCAATGAGTATTAGTGTATTACGAATATGCTGTACGTTGTGAATACCAGTATTACATTTTTCTTTCAAGTGATTAAAAAATATATTTTTTTTATTGTTATTACTCATTATTAAATTGTCTAAAAATTTGACATGAAGTTTTTATCTTACACTAATACTTATTATTAGATAGATCTTTTATGCAATTTATATTGGAGTAAAAGATATTAAATATAATATTTTTTAAATAAATAATTACAATGATGTTTTTACACGTATGCAAAATGTTGAGTTTACGATCCGTAAATGTTGGCAAATTTTTTTCTATTTTTATTATAAATTCTAGCTTGAAAATAGAAAAAGTTCTCCAAGTACACACTTGAAAATTCTTAGAAATCATTTTGTGCTCAGGTTTAAATAGTTTGATTTTAATTAGATTTGATTTTGGTAGACGATATATGTATAAAGAGAACAGTTATATCCGTATAAATCCATATCTGTATATTCTTAATGGTTATATAATTCCACAGTAAATATGCAAAATATACCAGAAACATATTATCTCTAGTAAGCTTTTTGGCAAATTTGATATTAATTTATTCATATCGAAAATTTGATCGGAATGATTTAATCTACGTGTATGATATTTCCTGATGTTTAATAGATTTATAAATTGAAACGAGGCCACAAAACATTTCGAATTATTTAATATGAAATGTTCTACATATGAATATATGAAGTGTTCTACATATGTAATAAATTACTGACATTATTTTATTTTTAATTACTTAATTAACTATCCGAAAATTGCGATTATTCTGACAGACACAATTATCTATTTTAATTTCTAGTATTCGCTGTTCAATATTTAGTTAGAAGATTCGGCCTCTTTTTACATTACATTATCGTTGCAAATAATCGACAGGGGTTACTTTTTGATTGACAATAAGCGAAAAGAGGACTCGAGCTCGATAGTCGATTTTCTATGATATTTGCATTTTTATGAAAAAAGTATTTGTTAAAAATTTAATTTTTCTGTGACAACAAGTCAAATTTCGAAACTAGGATATTACTCAATTATTTCGCTTACGTACTTATTTCCGGCTACGTCAAAGAACGCGAGTTGGCTTCCGCTAAGTCTTACGAACGAAAGAACGGAGAAGTAGATCGATGCGGTTGTCAGACAGGCTTGCGCGAAGAATGCGAAATTAGAGTGTTATTACGTGAGACGCGCGGCCGCTTTAAGGACGGGAACATATTTTGTCGTAGAACGATCTTTACATTTACATACATAACGTTCTATGTTTACACTCTGCGACGCCATATATATCTTACGCGCCACATATTATTTATACTTTATGCCCGAAGAGAACTTTGAGAGCAGAAATATCGGCATCGGCGAAATAAACGGCTTCAATATAACCAGTGTAATACGGCAGGGCGATCCATTCCCGGTTACTACTGTTACTAACTCTCTTCCGCGAGCTGCACCTTACCTTGTTGCTGTTCTGTCCCATATCGAGCTCGCGATTATAGCGCTTCTCACCGTAGATCCAGTCCTGGATTACCTTCTGGATTTCTGGCTTCTCCGGGTCCACTAATCGAAAGGCAGTGATATTGGTCCCGCCGTGCCTGAATTCTTCTAAGTCGACGGTATGCAAGTCCTGAAAGGAGAATTTCGATCAGTCGTGACATAAATTCCTATTATCACATACTTCCGTACTAAATCATGGAATTTTATATTAGCTATACCATACATTCTGTGTACATATATATATATTATAATGTATTTTATATTTAAATGTACTATACATTTATATGTATTATTACATTTTATATGAATATTTATTCGGTTATAGAAGATTCTATTGATCGTAAATATTAGTTTTTCTTCTAAAAAAATTGAAATATATAAATAATAATTGATAATTTCTTCTACATTTTTAATTAAAATCAAATTTAACGCCAAGAAAGAATGATAAAAATTACGAAGTAAATTTTGAAATAAATAAAGAATTTTTTAATTTGGAATATATTTTTTTCTGAAACTCTGTTTTACAATTTACAATTGATTAGTCGTGCAAAATAAATCTCAATTGGATTCACATGGTAAAGCCAATGATATTTTAGAAAATCTTCTTACAATTAATGTTTTATGACTTGTTTCAAACGTAGGGTCCTAATCACTTTGACAGATGTCGAATTTCATAAAGCTGGGCGATTCTTTTTTTGTGTGCTTTTCAAAGAGAATTTGATGTTTTGTTTTGAAACATTTTCTATAAGAGATTTGCCAGTTGTTACTGCAGTACAAAAATTATGTTCGATTTGTTAAAAGAAAAAGCATTCACATTGTTCTCATTCTATATATCGTTTCTTATTGTTTTGATAGATTACACTTATTACTTTTGATATTTAATTTGTAATTTAATTTATAAAGCTTCCAGTGGATGTATAACGCACCAGAAAATTATATAAGCTATGAGCGTGTTTATTCTGCTTATATATTGATTTTAAAATTATTTGTTATTAAAGACTCTTTATTAAAAATTATTTTAATTTTAATAATTTAACATTGTATGTTACATTTGCGGAAACAGAAAACTACTCACATAATCTGACATATTTTGCTAAAACATTTTCACATATGTATATCCCATTGTTTTTCAATTATTTGGACGACTACATTCGGTAAATTCGTAGGTGCGTGTTTACATGTCATGGCAATCGCGATGTTTGTTAATGACAAACAATTTTAAAATTAATATACCTAATTTACCTGACGTACATAATAAATAGTGTAACAAATAAATAGTGTAATCACGTATTTGATAAATACTAATTTTTAGGTTTAAATTTTTTATTACTATGAGATGTAACGCAATATATTTGATCTTATGAAGAAATCATGAAGTGTCGGTATCTAAAAAATATTTAGCGCTGTCAGACAGTGGAATATTCTGTGCATGCACTCATTCGTCAAAATTATTTTACACTGAAAGAATATTAATAACCGACTACACACGAGTAAAGTTGAAATATACTTTGTGTACGTCAAACTTGCGAAAGTAAATTAAATGACTACCGTGGGTGCAAACATATTACAAAATTAGAATAATGTTTTCGGTAAGAGAGTTAAAGCGCAATAATTGTTTCATACCCGTTTTGATAAATTGTATGATAGATCGATCACTCTCATCGCGTGTGTATCTCTCTGTCTCGAATTACTCTAATATATTATAGGATACAATGTATCGTCATTTATTTTCGCCACGATCGACAACACAACGTGAACATGAAGAATGTGCGAGTTTGCATTATTCGTGATGTATTCAGTAGCTATCAGCGGGAATAAAGATAACTCGAGCGTAGAAGGATCTGCTTCATGCGGGCTGGTATCTGTATCAGTGACGCTGGCGGGTCCGACGTGATTTAAAGTCGCATGCAGAGCTCGAAGGCGCATCCCGGTTCCCATCTTTTCGAATACTCGCGGAGAATCGCGCCGCCGCGGCCATTTATTATCCTTTGTCCCGCATATACGGGAACATGATGGATAAGTCCGATATTCCCGATCTGCTGTCTTCGCGAGTGAATCGACACACTTGGCGACGTATCCACGTTCCCGATGTCACCCGGATCGATTGACCGCCTCGTTGGTGATTGATCATCATCTCGCCCGCGGCTACATCCGGTCTGTCCTCCTTCGAGACACGTCGCAACATCGAAATCCTACTTGTCACGTACAATAACGCACCATAGTTGCAGATAACGCGAACCGAATTTACGAAACTTCTTTTTACTCCTGCATCGGTCATTGCGATTATTAATCTCCGGAAAGAACGTTAAGAGAAGCATTTTCGAAGTATCATCAATTCTAAGATTATTATGTAGACTAATTAATAATTGTACTCATAATTCAATAAAAAGTTAAACGCCAATATGTAACATTTTTGACTTGTCCTTAATGAAGTAATTACATATAGGGAAAACATAAAGAAATTTTCGATGAATGAAAATATCTCGAGGAAAGTGTAGCACTTGGATAGTTTTTAATCAAAAGTTTCTAAAAAAACGACTACCTATTGATTGGAAAATCATTGCTTCACTTATTTGATTTTTTTTCTTTGATCGATACCCATTTAATACATAATTTAATAAAAGTAGCGAGTACTAGTTATAGTCGCCGAAGAAAAGAAATAAGTTGCGCTGGGTAAAGCGAGAGTAACGGAGAGGAAAATTCGAAGAACTCTTCCGTGAGGACACACAAGCAACGGTGTGAATGCTATTATTGCACCCTGGCTTGCATATACGTGCAACTTCTTCCAGCGTGACGATTCGCAGCGGCAGCAACGTCCTGTGTGTCTCCTATGACATTTTATTAACACGCGTTTCAAAATCGCAAAACGGAAGAGTGTGCGCGCGCGCGTTTTCACGTGGAGATGCGTATATATCACGCATAAATGACTATTGATCGATCGCGAGTCGATCCGATGGTCGCGCGGTGCCGGCATGAATATCTGTCGGATACTTTTCATCCATAACGTTGATGGAAAACAGATTGCTGTATCCTCTCCTCTGTCTCTATTCGTCTTGATACAGGGTCCGTGTAAATATACGCGCGATATCGGATTTTCGTTCACCTGCAGGAGTAACATAGAGGAGCGAAGTAACAAAGGGACCCGGCTTTATTCTCAACATATGTTATCATCGCGTCCGCGGAATATGGATGCGGATCCGGGAAGAATATTGCTTTTCACACGGTATATTGCACACTGCGCTGCTGCGGGATCTGTCATTAAATTTTCGTTTCGCTCGTAACTTGTTTGAAACGGAAACAGCCGGCGCGTGCGAATATATATATATTCGCGGAGAGAGTATCGTCGAAGCTGTTTGACAGATGGTTTATACATTGTAGAGATGTGTATTACTGCGTTGTACATACACGACTGTATTTGGTTCGGTCATATGTCAAAGTTATCCTACAGCAGACTTTTAAATATCTAATTTGTATTCCGCTACATTTATGCATTTATTCGGCGTGACAATTATGGATCGATAGGAATTATTTTCAACTATTTTTTAATTTTTAGAACAAGTGTGATATATAATTTTTCTTGCGGTCATATTTTTTAAACTTTATGTAGATAAAAGTAAAGAGTTAAAAATTGACGTGATAGGTGTATTTTTATGGTTATCTTAAATTATATGAAAAATTCGCGTATGAATTAAATCTCAATTATATTCTCAAATTAAAATTTTATTTAATGAATTTTACATTTGAATAAATCGATTTAGTATATGATAAATCTTGAATTATTTTTACAAGTTTACTAAGTGACTATTTATATTTCTATTTTGATATTTGCAAAGAGTTGTACGTGTTATTTTTCTTTTTTTAGTGGAGACTCAACTTTTCCGTAAGTTATTTTATTTAAAAAATTTTACAGTTTCCTCTCTGATTAACAACTTCTTTACGTTTTTATGGTTTCACAGTTTCCTGATTAAAGACCGTTAAGTACCCTCTTATTGAGCGAAATTTTGCTTGGAAAGTCTTCTATTTCGGGACGAAACAGGATATTTCCACTCGAGAGCTCGAGAGTTCCAAGGTGCAACGGGCGAAAATCCAGTGGCGTATCATTGTATAAGCGATGGATGTCCGCAATAAGCGTCTTAATGGCGCCCAAAGCCATAATGACTATAACAATCAACGTAACAGTTACAGGCATAATAATCGTAATAATCGCATATCTTGACGTTGCTAAATTCGAAGGGTGTTGCAAAATTCGCGCGATCTCCCTCAAACAAAGTCGTCTGTACTGGAGGGCGAATGTTCATAATTTCGTTGCGAAATCACCGTTTCATGGGGCGAACTTAATTCGATAAAGGGTAATCCGTCGAAAGTCAAGCTTACAGTGACCGAGCGAGAATCATTAATGCTCTCTCACCACGTTTCTTCGCACCCGGAGAAAACAACGCGCAACAGTAGGTATATATATGCGCGTGTGTGTGTGTGTACCCATATCCGCCTATGTGTAGCACAGCTATGCAGACTTCCTGACCGTGCTGCGGAAAGGTCAGGTTGATGGATGATGGCCAATTTTTCCCTCCGAGAGCCTTGACGACTGGCCGACGTAAGTGAAAATAAATAGTCTCCGACTCGGGACATATCGTCTCGGGAATCGAGCACGGCACCGCTTAAATTCCCACGTGCGATGGAAATCAGCCGCGACACTAAGCAATTATTAAGCAACCTTATCCTTTTCATCTCTTCCGAGCTCCTCCATGTCGCACAAATCTGGTCGCACTTGTCTAATAATTTATCACTCGCGCCTCTTTTCGCGCCCTACATTAGATTGCACCGTTTACTCGGTAATGTTTATTTAAAAACGCTCATTTGTTTTCGCTATGTGCTTCTTTTGCATGAATAACAATTAATATTAATGAGGGTAGCGCATCTTTTATTTTAATTTTAAATTAATTAATAGTCGCGGTTAGTAAACGTACTATATCGCATGATGCATTCTATTTTACAATGGAGTCATTAAGAGACTATATTATTAATTAAATTTATGCAAATGTTAAATGAATAGCCTATTCCATGTTTAACAATTTATTAGATGCATACAAAATTTTGCAATCATCAATGTTAAAATATTCCGTCGGTACGATAAAACAACCGAATTTAAATGGTCGTAGAAGAGAACAATACAGTGAATATTTTGTTTTATGAAAAAATATTTTACTTAAGAAGATTCATCGCAAATGTAGTATTCCCTTTTGTAGTTTTCCACATTATTTCTTAACATTACGCTGGTGTATCTGGGTCAAAGTGATATCCATGCAGGAATAAATTTTACGACGGATCTACAAACCGCGACTGTCAACTCCGTCCGTTTATGAATTGATACCAGGTGATCAACGCAATTTGTCGCATGTTTTACGAACCCTGTGTAAAGCAAACCGAGCGTCATCGCGTGGAGTCAACGTGAAGAAGCCGGAAGAAGAAGCTCGATTCTTTCGCGCGCTTGAACAAATACCCTCGCTGATTTACATTTTAATGGATCTAAATTGAAATCTGGTAGGAGAGAAAAAGGGGGGAGGATGCACCAAGATAAATTACGTCGCTTGCGGTTATATGGCGTGTCCGTTTAAAGCTCTATTTATTTTTTATCATTTATATTGCCGTCGCGAATGTCGACGTCGAGACTCGACCACGGTTTCTCGTAGCTCTCGTCCGACAGGATGTCTTCTCTCGGAAGCCTTCGTCGCCGCGACGAGACGGTTGTAAATTACTAATTATCCTGAGACAGATTCCAATTTTAACTACTTCCGCCTTTACTCATTTGAGCGAACGTTTCAAGTTGCGCTTCTTACGTTTGCATAACATTTTCATTATCTTCGTTACGAGCCTCGCGAACGAATTTAGAATAAACGAATTTTAATTGTCTATTGCTGCTAAAAATAACATCCCATATTCGCAATCTTATAGTAAACTTGTGAGCTTTCGTTTCAATCAAGAAAATCAGAAAATAAATCATCTGTCAAAATTATTTTTGCATCTTCTTTTTCTGAATTTTTATTTTAATTTTTAACTTTTTTAATGAATATTTTGTTAAGTTGTGCATCCGTGCTCGCATACAACATTTTTATTATCCTCGTTACGAGTTTTCCGGACGAACTTAGAATAAATAAATTTTAATTTTCTATTGCTATTAAAAATAATATCTCGTATGGCGATCTTATCTATAAACTGTGAGCTTTCGTTCCAGTCAAGAAAATTAGAAAATGAATCATTTGTCAAAATTATGTTTGCATCTTCTTTTTCCTGAATTTATATTTTAATTTATTGCAATAAAATTTATAATTTATACTTATTTTTATTCTATCATCGAATTACCTGTAAAATGTTAATGTCTTTTTCATTTAACATTTTACGGCAGTCTGCAGATCTTCTACCTTGCAATTAAATTTTGACTAGTCTTAATAGCTTTTAATAGACTCCTCTAAATCTCGTTATAATATTAATGTTTTATAGATTTTTGAATGAATATTTTGTCAAGTTGCGCATCCTGTGCTCGCATAATATTTTCATTATCTTCGTTATAAGTTTGCGGAAGAACTTAGAATAAACGAATTTTAATACTTTATTGCTGTTATAAACAACATCCCATATTCTATTGTAACCAAATGAATGATCTGTCAACATTTTTTGCATTATTTTTTTTTTTGAATTTGTATTTTAATTTGTCTCTCGCGATGAGACTTATAACTTGTTAATTTTTATTTTATTATCGAATTACCTGTAAAATGTTAGTGCCTTCTTAATTTAATATTTCACGTCAAACAGAAAATTTTCTGTCTTGCAATTAAATTTTTATTGTTGTTTGTTTTAATAGATCTAAGAGTTTGTGAGTATTCTATGGATTATATAATGTTGATGTAGTATTATTTACTACGTGCCATTGTTGAATCTACTTAGTCTGAAATAATAATATTTTTGGTAAAATTCCTCAAATTTGTTTAGCTGTAGAACAGGAGAATCAAGTAGATTATTACATTACTCAAGATAATAACCGAGTAAATTTGCGGAAATAATACCGCAAAGGCCATTTAACGCTACATCGAGCTATTCTACGTTTAAGATCTTCAATCACGACGGTTCAATGACAGTTAATGGCAATCTCTGACCAACGCTACCGTTTTTACGGTAATCGATTTCTCGTCGTTTTAGCAGCAATTTACGAGGGGCTCGAATATTCCGGGAGTAAAGTTATCGATCTTCGACCTTTGGGAGAACGTCAAGCCTTTCTCTCTCTCCCTCTCTCGAAGACTGGAAGAGCCGCAGATGGCGCAGATAATGAAGATCGCACGAATTAGCCTTACGAGGGTCGCGCCTGATGCAATTTCGCGGATCTTACGTCTACCTCGGATTACCCGGTGGCTTACGACGAACGGAAAGTCGATTGCTAATCGCATTTAATCTCGTATACTCACCAGGGAAGTGATAAGGTAGCTGTGATAGTCGCTCATCATTCCGATCTGCTGCGCCTGTTTCAACACGTCGTAGATTCTCTCGGTCGAGCAGTCCAGGACGATGTGTGATTCCGCGGAATTCTTGATTTGTTTTAGCAACGGTCTGAAATTAAATAATCCCTTATTAGAGACGGACAAGATGGCGGCTCAATGCTTCAAAAATAAATGAGAAGAATATTAAAAGCGTTAGTTATATATACTATCTATAAATTGTGTACGAATATTTCGCTATCTAAATTTCAGATGCCTTTTAGTTCGAGGAATATTAGATGAAATATGATTAGACCAAAGAGTAGCTTTGAAAATAACTCGTCGGTCGCGTCTAGGACTAGTTAATGAAGTATGTCGACTTAATTAGTACAAGGAAAGCGAGAATGTTAAATATACTGTCAAGCTTGAAATTTTCGCGGGCTCCGTTCGCTCTCTCTCTCTCTCTCTCTCTCTCTCGCAATGCTGCTCTTCGGGGACGGAGCGGTTCCGATTCCGGACATGCTTTCCGCCGTGTACCACTGATAAAAATTTCATACTGCTGCCGGCCTTCGGCCTCTCTCTCTCTCTCTCTCTCTCTCTCTCTCTCGCTTCCCGTCATTCACATGCACGATAATGTGAATCTCCTTATGCAGCCCGTGGAAGTCGAGGGCTCGGCTCGTCGTGGGAATTTTTCATGCGCTATGCATAATTTAACGAAAGTGCCCTTTATGCGCGCGTTGCTCTCGTAGCCGTATCGTCCCGTGAATTTCACCTCTATTCCCGCATCCGTCGACGACGATTGCGTCTCTTTCCGCGTCTGTGACTTTATCGAATAATGAAACGGAGAAGGAAGAGCGTTTACAAAAGAGAACAGAGTTATGATAGTCTTATCTTTTATATGCAGTAGAGTGAAATCACTGCTGATCGATCATACTTTCGGCTATTGAAGTAAATTTATATATCGCGTCCGAAAATTATTAATTAATAGATTTGAATTATAATGCGTTATTCTGTGAACGCATTTTTTTTACCGCGCGTGTTATTTTAATATTAATTCTCAAAATACGAAACTATGAATAAATAACGCAAAATTATCTTTGTATGCGATAATTTGTTGTAACAATAAAAATGCAATCAGCAGAGACTATAACATTTTCCGCAATAAAACAGCTTTTTGAATAGCCTTTCGAATATCTTTACAATATTACAGAGAGAGGTCGTGAAACATTTCAAAACACTAGTATAATTACATTTAGTATAATTACGTGTAGTATAATTACGCGTAGTATAATTACGTGTAGTATAATTACGTTTCGACACCGATGACTCGTACATTTTGACACCCTTTAGCTTTCTAAGGGTTCATCGTATTTTCATCGCGTTGCTTGGTAGTTCCGGCTTTTACCCAAAACTACCCTGAGGGTCAGAGCTAGTTAAAGTCATTTGAGAAATTCTATGTGAGAAGTTCTCTTTTTTTGACATGATACTCGAACGCCGGTTTTACTTGATTAGTCACGTATTATATTCGTTTAAAACCATTTTTAAGCATTTAGGCATTCTTTGTATTATTTAATGAATTTTAAAAAACATATAATGTTTGAAATAAAAATATAATTTTTCTCTCGTAATATTTTTATTTTCTGTTTTTTTATGACTGCATGTGTATATATATGTATGTAGAAAGCTTACACATAATATATACATTCACACATATGTATGCGCAAATAAAATATTTTAAAGCGAAACAGGAAATTCTTGTATGTAGAATTTAAATCTATAAACTAAACTGATCGATTTTTATATCGTTAACCAATAACAAGAGCAATAGAGTGTTTTGAAACAGGGATGCTTTTTATATGAGAGCAAATATTTTGGTTTGACAGTTGCGTCTGGTTTGATGAAATATGTTTGTATTTCCACTATTAACACACGATCGGCGATTAACAATTACAAATTATAACGTTATTTGCTATTGATTGTTATCATGTTACTATGCAATGATTAATTGCGCTGATAGTTGCAATGATTGTGCACTCTAAATTAATCATCCCATCCTGTTTATATCGATTCTAAGTTATGCATGTTTACAATTATGATAACTGTAAATATTGCAGCAGTCATGTTGTGTTAGCGAACAATCTAAGCTATTCATCAAACATCAAGTTTTAATATGCGTTACTTGTGCGAGCAGAATAATTTGCTAAATTGATTTCGCGAAGCCTGCATATTTTGGTTGTTGCAAAATTCTAGTTATCCATTTTGTAAATAAAAATGCTGATTTGCACTCGTATCAATTATTCGATATTACATTACGCGTAAAATAATGTTATTTTGAAAAAATAATAGAGCTAGTTTTTTAATTTTTAAAGCACATACATTTTTACAACACGTACAAATGTAAAATATAACGTATCAAATTTCGATTTTTGAAATTGTAAACTTAATTATCGAAGAAGTTATTGCATTGTCACAAATTATTTATTGGAAACATTGGTTCCTTCGCTAAACGCGAAGCCATTTTCATGCGAATTATTACGAATTCCGCGATGATAATAATTTCCCTAGGCGATGCAAATTTTGATAACGTGTCAAGAAAAGAGAAGAATAACTATGGACACTTATTACAGATACATTTGTACGATATTGATAACAGTGTAGTATAAACTTCGTCACTGATAAGGAATCAGTTCGACGCTTCGCAAAAGAATTCTCCATGTTCGAGCCTCTTTCCTTCTAGATAATACCCGCTATTACGAGCTGCACTCTCGAAAGAATCAAACAACCTAACATAAGACGAGCAAACGTCCTCTGCTTGCTCTTTTTCTCTTTTCTCCCCCGCAAGGAGTGGTCTTCTTGGGCACTTTAGTCGATCGTCGTCGCCGTTGCTCTAGACTCTAGATGGCTTTCGAGAGATAACTTGTGCGATAGTCAACCCTTTACGAGAGAGGTCGAGAGATACCTTATCGTTACGAAGTGTACAACGATGATAAAACAATCTTGGAATTTTTAATTCCGCTTGCGGCCGCGAGGGAAAAGTGACGAATCGAGTAACTTTGGAATTGAGACGATCAAAAGATGATTGTAATTATCGTTCGTTTCTGACATCTTCTTCCGATTATTGTGCTTCGATTTATAAGCTTTCAAATTTAATGAAAGCATATACGTTAGTTATTCGGTTATCTTTTAAATAGATATTTTAAAGAATCCTTTTAAATGCTTTTAATGGAAAAGCATTTATAAAACATATGATTGCACGATAAATGTTACTCCATTATTAGCGGTTATATAATAAATCATTATTCCAATTATAATGTAATAAAGATTAATCTCTTGTCATGGACAGTTATCAAATAATATTGTAGGTATAATAAAACATTGTTTGCAAGTAATTTTTTTTTTTTACATTAATATAAAACTTTTTTGTATCTCTTTTGATTTTTGAAAATACATCTGAAATCTGTATAGAGTTTTTAAATAGATGTAAAATGAAAAGTACATGATACTTAAATAACATGTTATATATCATGGAGATACGTCATTATAAATGGTATCTGTTGAAGCAAGTAAATAAGATTCTGAATGATTAGTGTGCTCGTACGGATATGATTCTTTCATCAAGCACGGTCGTGTTTGAAATACGAATATAATGCTCGATATTATATATGATAAAACGAGGAAGAACGATACACGTTGATGAAAAATGCATCCTGCAATTCGATATGTTTGATAATCAATATTACGCGCCACTTCAATATTTGTTTTTCATCAAGGAAATGCAAAAAACGCCGATGACACGTCAATTTCGCGACCTCTTCGTTAAATGAATAATTCGGCTCTCCACAAGGACACATTGCGTGTTTTATCGTGTGATTCCTCGCCGAAATGAAATATAAAGTCTGGACAATTTTTGCTTGTTTTATAAGAATTGCGTGATAGATAGTAAGAATTTTTCGTAAGCAGATAACGTGTGAAAAAACATGTTTAATTATGAATATTTCAATTCGTTATATAATAAAAGTAAATTTCCTCTATCTATTTTAATTATAATTTGGAACTCAACTTTCGCTGTCTCATTAATAATAACGATACCAATATCGCTTGCTAGAATCGCATAATATCATTCGAATATGACGAGGCTGTATGCATATCTAATATTAAGTTACGTTTAGTTTCATTTCATGTCGGTTCAATTCAATCGGTGGCTGGGAGTGGGCAGGTATATTGAAATCGGATAATCAATAAAGCACAGTTGCGTGAGTCGATTAAACGCTTTATTGCGGCTGCCACACATTGTGGGGGAGATACTTCTGCTCGGTGTCTGGCAGTTAGCGCATTCACGCTGGTTACAGGATGCTTTCATCGTCTCTCGGAGACTCGCGGAAGTAATAAAAATAGCACGGCGCATTGTAGGTATATTACTATGTATAGCACATCGACCAAGTTCTCTCTCACCGATTTAATTCCCTTCGACACCCGAGTTTTGCTGTTGATTTTATGAGAGAACTCTCGATGTCCTCTTAATATGACTGCGATTATACAATAATAGTCAATTATTGGATTGCAAGAGGCATGAGAGTAAGGCAAACACAATATTTCTTGACGGTCAGTGAAGGATGAATCTTATAATTCATTATATTTATCTAATAGTATTTTTATAACGAATAATTTCTCTCTTCTTTTTCTCAGAGTGCTATTTTAATTTTTATTCTACAAATTTTTGTCGTATAAAAAAAAATGAAGATAAATGAAATCTAAAATACGATTATACGAATGTATTCTATTTGAAATTTATTGAAAGAGAGAATTATCGGTAAACATATTAAAAATATATTTTACTTATGTAATATATATATTTTAAATGTCACAGCAATTTTGGATACGTGAACATTTTACATTTCTCGCGTTTGTAAATGTTGAAAGAATAAAAGAAATTAATTTTTTTATCAAATCTTTTATTAAGCAGACATACTTTAATTGCGACTTTGTTTTTTGCCTTCTTTAAAGGGACGATTCAATTAAGTATGCGATTCATTTTTTTGCTGTTAATTATCTGCTATTGGCAATCTTATAACACTTCGCCTATCGATGGTATTTTCTCAGCGAAGATCTACTACAGCGATTTTAAAAGAAACT